TATAATTTTGTAAATCGACCATATGACTGATGTTTTCATGTCCTAGTCCAATCTTTTCAAAAAAAAAGCAAGAAAGACAAGTCTTTTTATGAGATAATGTGCAAGAGGGTGGAAGTGTGAAGCCTAATCTGAGTCTTAAGCCTAGCTCTCAGGTATAATACTACAAGTCTGAAGTTTTAAATGTTAAGAGGACAGTAATAAGACTCTACATCTATTATGTATTATTTTGTTACTTTTTCTTTTTCTTTTTCTATATATATATATATATATATATATAATTATATTTAATTACTTTTTCTTATTTTATTGTGTTTTGAATTAAGTTGATTTGTATATGGAATGATAGAAAAGAATAAAATTTCTTGAGTTGTGGGTTTTAAGTCCTATCAATAAAGAGGAGGAACGATGTCTCGATTGAAACCAAACATACCGACTAACCGATATTTTTTATTGCAAGTCGGGTTTTTATTTTTTTGGGTAGGTTTTGATTGATTTAGTAGTCAACTTGATATAGTTAGTTCGGTTGACAAAACTATGTATAACCGAACCGAACCAACCCATGTACAGTCCTACATAAGCTACAAGGGTCGCTTGACGGAGCAACCACAATAGCGCAAAAATTAACTAAAACTTCACTGGAATCTCACCCCTCCACACTATACTCACACTAGAATAACACTAAAAAACAATTCTTTCCACCGGAAAGAATCAGAATATAGTTTACAAAATTTTCACAGTTTTGTCACCCTTGTTTAGGTTTTGATGCCTAGCAAAAAGTATTCAAGTCAAAATGATGTTGGAAGAGAATGTTGTCATACTTGAGAGGCCATGAGGCATGAAACTTTCATGACCAAGCTATAATTAAGGGGGCGTTCTTTTTTCGTATGTCGAGGGGGAGAAAGTTGGTCAATGGGATTTTGGTTTCCATTGAATAAGAATCTCATGTTCTTTTTCCAGATTTATGTGGGGACCAGGAAAAGTTTGATTTTCTGGGTATCACGTACCCGAGTAAGTGATGCCCATATCCTATGTGGGTAAATAACTTTCCCACCTAAGGGGAAGTTGCCAACACTTGAATAGGACAAAAATGACCCTTTTAATAATGGATTTTTATAGCTAAAATGGCCATTGCTTTATTTACATGAGAAATAAAAGAATATGGATAAATACACTTAACCGGGTAAGCGTTTCCCAGGAAAAACTTACCCAAGTAACTATATTTACCTAGGTAAGTAACTTATCGAAAAACGAACTGGGCCTAAGAGTTATTCACCCCTATTTTCTGCCCTTGTTTCAGGATCAAAGCTTATTGAGGCCTTTGAGTCTCCATGAACGGGTTTATGAATCTCTAGGATTTGTTGGGACTCAATGACTTGTCTATTTGGAAACATGATTAGTTTGGTAGGGGAAGAAAATTTTTGACGTAAAATTTTCCTATTTTACTGTTTTACCATAAATTGTCTTCCTAAATTAATGGGTTTTCTCCCTAAATTAATGGAGCAAAAAAGAGGAGATTGCCATGCCAAATGACAACTCTGTGGGCTTTTAGAGGGAATCTTGCACCCTCTAGATTACTTCCTTGGGGTAATGGAGCAAAAAGAGGCATAATATTAATTTAGTATAAGGAGTATTTGTCGCAAAGTTAAAGTTTGAGGGTGATTCTTGCAATTAACAAATGAAAATTCAGGGGATAATTATAATATCCCATTGTAAGGGGGCTTGTTATTTACGGAATAAATTAGGATAAAATATAAAAACCTCCTCTGAAGTTTCTAATAATCATAAAACTTTCTTTATAATTTCATTATAACAAATGACTCCCCTGAGAAACTCAACAAAAACCTCCATTCCATCGTGTCTTTTTTCTAAATATCGGTTTTACCCTATTGTAAATTATTTTACCCTTTGATTCTTTGATCGTTGAAACTTACGTAGATCGTCTAGTGAAGAAGTGAGATACCGTTTGTTGTTGAGGCAGGAAGAACGCATGTAAAGTTTTCTAGAGCAAAAACAACAATATGGCAGTCTCCAAAGCGATTTTCATGACGGTAGAATTATCTTGCGTGAAAGGAAAAAGGAACCCTAATACCGGAAATCTCCGGTGTTTGTGCCCACAGATCATTTGAAGGTCCGATTTTGTTAACTGTATTTGTTTTATTTTAAACATGCAATTGGGCTCCAAAGATGAAGCAATTGGCTTCCCATCGTTTGGAGATATGAAATTTCTTTGTTTTGAATGCCTGAGATAATGACCCATTAGGCATCTCGATTGATATTGATATTTATTGTACATTTTTTTGTTCTTTTTTTTATAGAATTTTTGTTTCATTTTAGTATTATTTTGCACTGATGTTGAAGAAACATTTTCTAGTTTCACAGATGAAGAAATTCAGAGATGCATTGGCAAAGAACAACTAATTAAAGACTGTTGCAACCTTGGACCTCCAAAAGGACTGGAGGAAAAAAGAGCTCCTTGGTTTGGCTGTTAACAAGAAGGATCTCTCCTTCACCTATACACCCAAGAAAAAAAAGAGGTCGTACTTACTGCAATAGCAGAAGTAGCTCCTACAATAAGCGTAGAGCCCCTTCCATCAACCTTAAAGACCATTCAAACTCGAGATTCTGGGAAACCCTTGGCCACGGCTGGGACCTGGGAGATTATTAATTGAAATAATTTCATCAGCCCATTTCTGTTTTGCTTTTGTTGTAGGATGATCAAAGTATCTGTAGATGCAGATGTGGGTTCAAACAAGTGAGAGAGAGAGAGCGAGAGAGAAAGTGCGTTTCAGTGTGTGTGAGAATTAAAGTTGGTTTGTCGTATTTAACAGATGGATGCCAGTAGTGTCAGGCTTTGTGGTGTAGATCATGGCCTGCACTTCTTGAGACGTGAGGAAGAAAGGGAATTTGTATGTTGTTTTCTCGATTGTAAGAACTGTTTTCATTCATTAGCAATTTTAAAGGAGATGCGGGATATCCATAGTAAATGTTCCGTCTTTCTTCTGGGTCAGTGACGTTTTCCGAAATCTTAAATGACACCCGGGGATAATTTCGTAAATGTCGACATTTTCCGTCATGGACGGGATGTTCTTACTGATTTTCTCAAAGGGAAGGTATTTATTACAATAAAACTGTAAGGGTAAATTACAATGGCCCCACGTAGTATGGGGTCTGTGAGTCTGTGACAAAGACTCCCTCTATTTTGTTTTGCAACAAAGACCCCACCCCCTGTACTAAGCCTGTCGTTACAATAATTTTTAATTCTCATATTACCCATATAATAACTGTTCAGACAAATTGAAAGAAAAATAATATTCATCTTCCCCAACCATTAAGTGATCCAAAACAGCACGGATGCATCGAAGAAGAAGAAGGTGATACATTCCAATTTATTAGTAATCCATCTCTCGAGGCAATCAAGAATTCTGGAGAGAAGGGGAACCGATTCGCAGAGTACATTAACTACTTGATGGAAGGGATAAAGAAATCCGGCCCAAGTCTGGGAGTTGGCCACTGGTGCTGGTAGCTAAGACGGTTCCTTATTTTTATATATTGTCGCAAAACATGTCGACAATCTATAAGACGTACGTGTTTTGGTGAATAAGATGAGAATTATTCTGTTTGTTTTTGTTTGTACAATCAAAAGCCACACATGCGCTAACTGATCTTCGATCGCTAATCTCAACCTAGACTGAACTCGATCCAACAGTTGCGTGCACAGGATCTTGCTGATCTTTAGCGTTTAGATAGTTGGTGTGTTAGATTCCTGAGTCCCCATTTTCTCTGTATACCGAACGCATTAAAGGTGGGCGGAGCACCTAGTACCAGTTGTAATACTACATACTGGGAGTTAATCTCCCGAGCCTTTCACTTCGTTGCCAGATTTGACTTGTCGCTTTTCGAATCTAGAGATGGGAATTGCTCGAATCCTCCAATTAGGGAAATAAAACTTCCGGAAAGAAATCTAAGCAGACTCGTTTCATGGAATTTTCTTCCAATTTACAGTATATGGATCTATCCTACAATAAACTACAAGGGTCTTTTCTAGGTTGGTTCTGGTCGATGCTGAGCCTCGTCGAAGTCAATCTTGCCATGAATCGTCTTGGAGGAAATGTTGGTCTCCACCCCACCTCAAAAGCCAGTTCAGTTTCGTCTTTGTCGTCATTTCAAAAGCTCAATCTCTCTCACAACAATTTCACCAACGTGGTTCATTTGTCGAGATTCTCGAACCTCCAAGTACTCGACCTCTCGTACAACGATCTGAGAGTTTTGCCTTCTGGGATGGAGAACCTTGCGAAGCTTGAACATCTCGACCTCTCAAGTTGCAACATTTCAGGGAGCGTGGAACCCATCGCCAATCTTCGCTCGCTGTAGTACCTTGACATTTCCAACAACGTCATGAACGGAAGCTTCCCATCTGATTTTCCTGCACTTAAGTTCTTGAACGTCTCTGGAAACAACTTCACAGGAATGATTGGCTTAGACAAGCTGAAGAAATTCGGTAAGTCTACGTTCATTCAAGCCTTGAAGATAAATACTTCAAAGCTCCCAATGATTGGCCTCTTGCGTAAAGCCAAAAGGGTGAATGTAAGCGGGAAGAAGAAAGAGGAGAGAAAGGGGATGGAAAAGAAGAGTGATCGAGAGAGAGAAAAATGTGCAGGAATTTGAGGTAGAGGGAATTACCGCCACTGTTGTTCGACTGTTCATGTATCGTGAGGTTGAGAAGATGAACAGTGTTTTTCCCCTCTCCGAATAGTTATTATAAGGGTAGTATAGGAATTAAAAAATATTGTAACGGTGGACTTTTCATTTTTTGAACGGAAGGGGTGTTTGTCTCACGGTGTCTTTGTCGCAAAACAAAGTATAAGGGGGTCTTTGTCACAGACCTCATAGTACACGGGTCTTTATAATTTACCTAAACTATTAAGAAAGGTTTTTATGATTATGAAAATCTCTAGGGAGGTTTTGGTATTTTACCCAACAAAAGCTCATAAGTCATGACGGGAACGTTCTCGTTCACATCGAAGACTGCGAAGACAAGCTCAAAGAGCTCCGCGAGCAAAGTTCTCCCGTCTTTTTGAGGTCTTGCTTCTGCTCTCTAAGGTAAAAATTTCTCCTTCTCTCTGTTTAGATGCTTTTAGTAGTCACGCAGATCTCTACATGGACTGTCGATCTTCCTTTGAAACCCTAGAGGTTAACTACTTTTGGTGGAATATTTATTTTCTTTGTCTAGGCTTATTTCTTTAGATCTGATGTATATTTGCACTTGGGTCTTTGTCAATCGAGTCTGCTAGTTGCTTCTGGGATTCTGGTGGATTTTTTTCTTTTCCTGACGGAGGATATATAGCGAAGAATAGGAAAACTCTGGTTTGTTTGTCGATTGAAATCGTAAAAAGAGATCCCATTTTAGAATAAATGCTTCCGATCTGCAAAATTATAGGTTTCTATAAGGCATTTTTCATGCTTGTTATGGTTTCTTCTGGGTGTTTGTTCTAGTGAGCATGGTTAAGTTTCTTTTGATTTGATGCGCCTTGACGAAGTGCTTATAGTATTAGTTTTGAGTGTTATCATTGCGATGAACCCGTTTTCATTTGTATGGGGTGCTATTGGAAGCTCGGTAATACATTCATGTGGCGGTTCAAAGATTTGATAAACATTGATATACCGTACTGTTTTTTTTTTTTTCTTCTTGATATATGGGCTAAGTTTTTCTATGGTCTATTACCTTTGCAGTGTGGTTCTCATCTATGGTAGTGCCTAATGCCTAATTAGAATGACTGCTACAAAACTTTATTTGTTGATATTGTTAGCATTCTGCTTGGCTGTTGATGAACATATAATAGATTTGCTTAATTTAAGTGTACTCCATTTTTGTTATATATTGAGCGTGTTTAAGAAACGTGGATCAGCATATGCTGCATATCCCCTCTAAAAAGAATTGTAATAGGGAAACCCTGTTAACCATGGGGAATGTAAAGCCAAAAGGATCCAGTTGGAAAATTTGTCATCATTTTTAATTTTTTGGCAATAGTAAGGAATTGTGCCTTAAAGTTTTCCTTGATTAATAGGGCTGTCCCATTTATCAAAAATAGGGGTGCCCACATCAGTAACCACTAACCACTTTTTCCTTTCTTTTTTCAAGAAAAATTTAGATTATGTTGGTATAATATAACATGTTTTTGCTATACTGCTTTCTTTGTTGTTATTTAGATGTCTTTAATAGTATGCATTATATTTATAATAATGCTTTTAAATATTTCCTGTTTTTCTTCTTTTCATGCATGTTGCTTGGTATGAGATGTATCTACATTTCAGAATGTTCATACATATCATTGGAGTCTGTAATATGCTTTTTGATGTTTTTACCATAGGTCATGTTCATGGTTGACTTGATAATGTGTCTTGAAGTCTTTATGCAGCATTCCTTTTGGACATTCTCTTTTGCTAACATTGTGTATCTTAATTTAGGACAGAAAGCTACGTTTGGTTAAAAATTCTGCTTCAAAGAATCACTATTTGAAGAATAAGTTCTGAGCCAAATGCAGCCTAGTTTAGCTTTACTTACTTCTCTTCTGTACATTTAGTTGACAATATGTCTCGTGTGTACGTTGGAAATTTGGATCCACGAGTGACTGAACGCGAACTCGAAGATGAATTTCGTGTATTTGGAGTCCTGCGAAGGTAAAATGAATTTGAACTAGCCTTGTCTGCCTAGTTGTATAAATTGATTTGTTTCTTTTGATATTATTTTTAATGCATATTCCAAGCTTACGAAGGTGTTGATTCCTTTCTTTAGCCATTGGTTTTAAAAAAACTAGTTCAATTTTTGAGTCATATTAATGAAGATAATTGGCCCATTATCAATTGTGTTTTTGGTTCCCAAGCAGTAACATCGTCTTGCATGGAAAGGACACAAGAATCAGAAGCCAGTGCATGCCCATGAGTCTGACTTGGCAAGATGAGAAAACATGGACTTTGGAATTTTCTGTGGAAAAGTATATACTATTAAAATAGTTCATATTTTTCAAATCCTAACATTATATGCCATGTTGCCTGCAAGAAGGGGTCGAAAATGCTGCCTTTTTACGAAGTCACTTTTGATATGAACAATGGCATTCATCTTATGCCACAGCTATACATTTATGTTCTTTTTTTTTTATAGAACATTTATGTAAATTAATCTAGGGGATAGAAAGGAAATGTTATATAGAAGTGTCCTCAAAAGTACATGGGATGTCAGTGTTCGACATGGACATGTCCATTCTGGTAGTGTAATTTTTTTCAGGCAATGCTTGAGAAACATGTTGCACTTTTTCTACTTGATATTTGATTTATAGATTTTCCTGCCCCTTTTAGTAACTGGGAGAAAATAAAATACTTGTCCACTTTGAATGGTTGTTGTTTAAATATTTGAATTATTTGACATCTTGATGCAGTGTATGGGTTGCACGAAAACCGCCAGGTTATGCATTTATTGATTTTGATGACCGAAGAGATGCACAAGATGCAATTCGTGAATTAGATGGTACATATCCCCCTTCCCCAAAAATGGAAAGGCAGAAAGAGCAATCTTTCTGTTCAAATGGAACAGAGATCTGATATTTCTTTATATCTATTTTTAATCTGAATTGCTATTTATTGTGTAATTTGGTTGCATTTTAATTTAAAGAGACATAATTTTTGTTTATCCTCTTATTGGAGCAGGTAAGAATGGATGGAGAGTTGAGCTCTCACACAACTCTCGTGGCCGTGGTGGTGGTCGTGGTGGTGATCGTGGGCGTTCCGGAGGGTCTGACCTGAAGTGCTATGAGTGTGGTGAGCCTGGTCATTTTGCTCGAGAGTGCCGTTTACGTGTTGGTCCTGGAAGGCGTCGCAGCCGTAGTCCTAGATATCGTAGGAGTCCAAGCTATGGTAGAAGGTGAGATAATTTGTTTTATTCACTGTGTAGTTTTTGTACATCAGTGCCATTAATCTTTTTGTACTATCATGAGTAGAGTAGGTTGTCAGTTCTTGACATGTGTATGGTAGTATGGTGCTCATGGTATGGCTCTTACAAGTTTTGGCCTCTAGGTTAGGTGTGGGTAAAACTAGTATGTTCATGTGCTTCATGGTTGTCGAGGCAATGCCTGAGCGATTAGAAATTTATAAAATAAAGAACTAAATTTTTCATGTGCTATCTCCCAAGTTTTTATACCTTTCAGCGTGCATATTAACTGAAAAACTGGCAATTCTCTTTAATAAGAACATTGGAACATGGCAAATCATCATATCTACAAGATAAAGGTATTTTAAATATATTGATTTCAATATTTTCAAAAATAATACTGATATAGTAAGTTCTTAATGGAGCAATTTTCATGTAAATTAGCAACTAAAGAAGGTTTTAATTTGTAACGATGAAATTTAAGATGGAAAGAGAGAAAAAGAATAAGGGTGGAGATACTGTTTTTTTTAATGTTAGAGAGAAAATAGAAAAAGCAAAAAGAAAAAGAAACCTCTTTATATTTCTATTCTTTTAAATTTCATTAGTGAAACTTTAAAATAAAGTATAAATGAATAGAATGTATTAACACATATTAGTAAGATGTAGCAATATGAATGATATTATATTAGTAATAGAATGTATTGTCACCTAGGTGAGGCGCCCAGCCAAGGGTGCCTAGGCACACCTTGACAACTATGTGCGCTTGTACCAACTTATTGGTTATGGTGCTGTTTTTCAGTGCATGAGAAAATTGATGGTATTGGTCCTGTTCTCCAGTCCCTGGGTTTATGGATGTCATGTAGCTTTGATATACAATAGTTATTACAACCTTCGATGGTCAGAATTTCTGTGTGTTTTATTTACCTTTGGTTACTTCTGGCAGGAGTTACAGTCCCCGTGGGCGTTCACCAAGGCGCCGCAGTGTGTCACCTCCTCGTGGTCGTAGTCGCAGCAGGTCACCGCAGCATCAACGTGGACGTGAAGAATCACCATATGCCAATGGGTAAAGTTCATATTTGCTCAATATCATTCCTTAAGAAATTTATGTGATTAAACTAGACCTTTCATAGGTCCCACCTGCAGCATAATGTGGCAGGGGGGAACCAGATTAACCATCTGGTGGTGCTACATATATGGGCCATCCTGTTGGTGGATCCCTTTAAGGTCATTAGTGGTAATTGTTATCTTCTTAATGCTGAATTATTTTTTATTGAATTGGTGCATAGAAATGCTGCTAAAGATCGTCACAGGAGCAGGAGCTGATTTTGAAATTCCAACATGACTTCGTTGTGATTTGTGAGTGAACATGGATTAAGAATGTCAAGATGGTAACAGTACTTGGACTTCATTGCAACTATGTTTTAATTGGGCAACGACTCTCAGCCTCAGACTTCTCAGATTTGGATAAGTTTCTTTCCTTCATATTTGTTGTCCTTAGTTTTGTTTTTATTTTTTCTTATCAATGCACATAGTTATAGTTTCTTTATATACACCAGGGCCTTAAGGAAAATTATAACGAGGTAAAAGTCAAGAATGTGACCGAGTTCTATACCTTTTCTCTTTTGTGTGTCGAGGAGGCGGGGTCCCTGCTTAAATGACTTGCTAGAGAATCCATGCTGCTTCGTCACACACTGGTTTTGTGGTTCTACACCCTGTGGTTTCATCCCTCAGTCGCCTTGTTTTGGGGTTCTACACCTAATGGCCTCATCTTTCGGTTCCCCTGCCTTTGGGATCTTTAATTGATTGACTGTGGATCTTGGTCACCTACCTCACTAAATGCTTCTGAGCGTGATTGATCCTCTCCGGTTGTGAAGGCGCCTTCCTCAAACTTCTAATGGCATTTTATTTTCTTTAAATTGAGGAGCTGCTTCAAACACTTCAAGCAGGAGCAGGTATCCCAATCTGTTTTTTCAAGAATTGGGTTTATTTTTTTGGGTGGATTGTTTTCCAAGCTACCAAGGCTTTCATTCTTTTCTTTTTGTTATCTTTTTATCTATTTTTCATTGATTCACAACATTTTCAATTTTTCAAAGAAAAACGGGAAAGGATTTTCAGAAAACAAGGGGAAAATATTTTAACAGTTGGAATTGAACACCTCTCTCTGATATGTTCTTACACAAGGCTACAAATGAAAATGCTCAGTCATTGCAGTTGAGCGATTTAGAGCATTCTCTAAATTGCTACTGAACTTTTGTGGTTGGGTTAGTTTTGGGGGATGTCAATTTATAGATATAGTTTTTATGACTATTTTTCTCCTTCGTTTGGTTTTCTTAAAGAATTTTCTTTTAATCAGAATTGAAGGGTAGGTTCAGTTTTAAACTTGTTTTGCTCGGTTGCCCCCTTTAGGCTTGTTAGAAATTCTATTTCATCCTAAGTTTTGAGCTGAAGTGGTGAGTAGCATATTATATGGGGATTCCATTTGACCCCAAACTCAAGAGTGGGCGGTCAATCCGGGGATACATTTGCTCCTAGGGCTTGCTGATCTGCAGAGGAAGAACCTACAATAGTTACAAAATATTGGATGTGATCTAAAAAATTTGAGAAAAGCATCTGTCATTCATTGACGACAGGCTAGTTTCAGCATATGTCAATTGCTCACCTACTCGTGGATGTGAACTCCTTTACTGTCATGTTTTGAGCTTCGCTTTGGTGTAGAACCTACAGCTTTTGTTGTGTCGGGTGGATCTGCGTCCTTGAAAAATAGTCTATTCGGATGGTACCTATGCTTGTATTCTTCGGCAGGTCGGGCTTCTGGAATTGAGATTTGAGAGCCCTAGTTTAACCGCCATTTTGTGCTCTTGGGCAAAGGGTATATTCCTAGTTGGCTTATTCAATTCGACGCCTAATGGATCGTTAAAAAGGCTTACTTGATACAAAATTCGAATGAATAATAAATGCTTGAATTTGATCAATTAATTTGAATATACGAGTCCGTTTGATTTTGTTTTTATCACCGTACCCCCTTTCAAATAAAAATTAACCTCTAATATAGTTTTACATAGTGTATTTGGTATCATAGAATTGCCCTTCAATTATAAGAGAGAAATGAAGGATATTTGGATCATTTCATCTTATGTGGCTAGTGATGCTGTAATCGGTTTGGATCAAATCTAGTTTGTCACCATGGTTTGAAGATTATGGATAGGGATGGTAAGGTCTTTTAACTGGTAGCCGAGATTTGGATCAAATTTAGCGGTTTGACAATTATGGATGGGGATATGTAGCCCGTAAAGAAAGGATAATATGCAATATGCAAAGAACTCTGTACTTTGGGGTGGTGACAGGATTTGGTCCCAATCAAATATCCCAGAGCAAAATGCACTAAAGCTAGCCGATAAAGCATAAACCAAAGTTTAGGTTCAATTTCTGTTTCAACGGACATTTTCACTCATAAACTAAAGCTAGCCGATAAAGCATAACTCCCTTTAATTTGTTTGCGAGAGTTGCTTTTACTTTCAGATTGTAGCACTTTGTTACAACTTCCAAGACCAATTAGCCCCTTTTTATTACATCTCCAAAACCCAGTTGATAAGGTATATGTTTGGCATTGATGCTGCAGATATAGCACTGTTTTCTGATGTGTGGGTTGGAAGCACCGTTTTTTGAGAAAATGACGTCTTTTTTTCTGTTTGGAAACATTGCTGTCAGGTAGGATTGAGACGGGATCTGCTCCTCACATGCACATCCACCATGTATTGGGAACATCTCCTGTGAATAATAATTAATAAGTACGGGAGATGTTCCCAATGCATGGTAGGATGTGCACGAGTATCCATTATAGGAAGTCCACGTCACTACCACATTATGTCCTCATTGGCAGCAATGAGCTGCAATTTGAGAAAACACYAAATTCAGCATTGCAACAAACGTGGTTTGGAGCATTGTTTTTTATAGGAAAATGTTTCCAAACAAACATGCATTTCTTGGAGCACCGTTTTTTACATGGTGCTGATGTCACTGTTTTTTGGAGCAATGGTATCAATTCCAAAACTCGGAAAAGGTTAAAAAACCATTGATTTTATCAAAAATAGTGACTTGGACGATTGGACTGTAGGCTATAACTTTGCACTCCGATGTCCGATTGAAGTGATTTTTTTTTTCTCTTGGGTAACTTTTTAAGATCTATGCGTTCCAATGAGTCATAAGTGCCTTGTCTCATTATTTTTTTCATAAAACCAATTTTTTGGCCTCAAATTGCAAATTTTGATTTTTTTATAAATAAAAAATTTTAAAATGAATTAAAAACATATATTAAATATAAAATGTTTCGTAGTAAAACATAATTATACATAATTTATTAATAAAAAACATGTTTATACATACTTACACACACACACACACACATATATATATAGCTGATGTGGCACGATCTGACCCGTCCGACCCAAACAATCAAACTGGTGACCCATGACCTGGAGGCAAAAACAGTCCGGCCTTTTTAAAACACTACATCTATGTAGAAAAACTTCAAGTATCCAACTATCATCCAATTAGTACCCTGTACTTTTTTTTTGACAAATTTTCATATTACTACCCTGTATTTTGGGTTTAGTCACTTTGGTTCCCAAACTTTAAAATGTGACAATTCATTACCTAAACTTTCAAAATGCACCAATCTAGTACTTGTCCTTAACCAGCCCTTAAGTGGCATTTGAAAAGACACAAATGCCTTTAGAGTGTCATCTAATTTTCTTTATCAACCATCTAATTCATAATAATGGGTATTCAATCTTTTGTTGTCATTTTATTTAGCTTGTAGCTTATGTTCTGATTAAGTTTCCATTGATTTTTCTCTCATATTCTGGCATCGGTTTAAGAAGATAAAAGTCACCATTAAAGTAGCATCAGCTTTGTCTCAAGTAGCTAACAGTTCTGCAAGTTAAGAACATAAAGTCGGAAATAAACAATGGAATTTAGTCACAAGGAATGAGAATACACCATATCCTATTTAATCTCAGACATACAAAATTATCAATTACAGTATTTAGAGAGCCTATAATGCGCATACATGCACAACTATATACTGAATACAATATTCAGAGAATCTAAGATGATACGAAGAAAATAGAAATACGTAAGAGATTAAACGAACGCTGCTTGGGCATGGTTAGTGTAACACTCATGCTGGACCGATCTACGGTGGCAGCCGCTGATGGTGGCCGGTAGAAGAAACAGCGGTGGTAGAGGTGCTGGCTTCAACACCAACACAAAGAATCTGGGGAGTGGGGACCGGCAGTGATTTCTCTCGTTCTTAAAGGTTTCATGTCAACAGTGAGCCATGGCTTCTGATTCACATCACTGGTTTGCTTCCTTGGCTCTGCTTACAATTCAGTAAGGATTCAGCCAATAGACCTGCTTCGCTGCTGCAAGAGCAGTGCCAAAAAGCTTGTTCTATTGCCTCCAACATTGCAAATTGGTGTCGAGCAAAATCGTTGGATGAATTGGCATTCTTGATGGATTCAAGTTTCAGCGTTCAGATCAGAGTAATGCACTCGGTGGTTCTTGAATTGAAACGGGATCTCCAAGGGGTGACTAAATAAATACAAAACAACATTTTATACAACTCTCTGTTTATTGGGATTTAGTGGTGAAACAGAGGATAGCAAAGAGAGTTGTTTGTGAGTTCTTAATCGTAGTCATTTCTCTCAGATATTTCATATTTGTATTGAGGGAGATTTTCCGAATGAAATGGTTGTAAGTTTTTCGGGTCATGTATTTCTGGCAGCATAGTTGGACCCTTTTAGATGGTCAGACAGCATAGTCGACAGCAAATGAGATGGCATTCACCTCTGTTTCATCTTTTCAAGAAATAAGATGATGAAACAAATTGTCAAAAAAACAGTACAGGGTGCTAATTGGATGAAACCTTTTCACGCTGTACAGGGTAGTAATTTTCAAAAAAATAATTAGTACCCTGTACAGCATAGTTGTACTACCCTGTATAGTACAGCATAGTCACCAGCAAACAATAATTCACGCTAAATTTTCATATTACTACCCAGTTTGCTGTCATGTGACACATAGGCCCACGATGGAGGAAACCTTTTAGGAAGATGAATTTAGCATGAATTATTGTTTTACCTGATCCAACCTAAAAGTTTTACTCCTTTGAAATAAATTGTGTATTTCACCTATTCCATTGGCCAAGCCTTACAAGGTTATATATGCTGCACACAACATAAGATATTATTCATATTGAAGGGGATCTGAAAGGTTTGGAGTTCATACTTCTTTTGGCACGAGAGTAATTGCTGACAGGAGAATAAACAACACAAGTGAGTTGCATGGGGCTTCCCAGTGAAACTAGAACGACGATGTAAATAGCATTCTTGTTAATTGAAAAAAAATACTGGGGTAAATTTGTACCGAAAAAAAAAAACATCTAAAATCTCAGATCCTTAAACCGATATGACCAAACATATTCTGACTAATTCCATTTACAACCGCTAAAAGGGGGTAAAGTCATTATTAATTGCAATGCCAAACACATCCCTCAGACCGAAATGAGTAGAAATCGTATTTGGTATTTTGGCCCCCTCAAAATTGTGCTCACACCGTTTTCACAGAACTTTGCAGCCGTGCATTGGAAACATCTGCCATGAATAAAGTGCAAGTATGGAGATGTTCCCAATGCACGGCCGAGGGCTGTGACTGAGAACACTATGTGAGAACAATTTTGGGAGGACTAAATCCGCACTCCCATATATAACACTATTACCTAAATTATGGCGCTTCCCTGAAGCTTCAGCAGTAAATCTACACAATAAACATGAATGCTTCTATAACACTTAGGATATAAGCTTTTCGCAAAATAACCTACTAGCACGAACAGATTTTATCAAAGAAAAAATGCTAAAAATATCAACTTGTAACTCTCCATAAAGAAACAAAAACTAATATTCTTGGTAGCTTTCATCAAAAACCCAGTTGGGTGAATGGAACAAGAAGAATTTCATGAATTTCCAGAAAACGTTTATAAGTCTTTCAAATACCAACTCTCACTACACAGTGCTAACAATAAGAAACCGGGTCACTTAGAAGATACGGTATGGCTTCCCCATAGTACTCTTCAGGTACAAGCACCTCACCTGGTTTCAGTACACAAAAAACATCAGTCAGCTACCACATAAGAATTGGCACAGAAGAGCAAGGAAAGAATCGGAAAGGTAAAATGGACAATAAAGTTACTTGAGTCTTTGAGATGTAAGTCTTAGCAAACAAAAATTAGTGTTTTTTTGGTAAAAAACAAAAAAAAAAAATAGTTGAGGGTATGTTTATTTCATCATAATTTTGCCCAAATTTGATATAACTTAAATTAATAAAACCCAGCATGAAAAATATAACTTCACATTTCATCAAAAATATAACATCAAAAATTATAAAACCGATTAGAACTGATTAAACCAGTTCATCAAAAACATGACAAAAAACATTCTTTTTTGGTAAGAAATTCCGTTGCTTAAAGAGAAGTTGAAATTACATCAAATTTTTCCAGAACCTTTGTGCAATACAAGGCAAAAAACTCTTCACAAGTAAATGGGTGATCAACAGCATTTCTCTTCACAACAGCATGGAGCCATGAACAGCTATTTCCTATTCTGCTGTAAAGGGATCTTTGACACCTCTAATAATCTTGAGACATTTCTTAGACATCATACACAATCATATTTATAGGAGAAAACGTGTTCAGAATCTTCAGATGGCGGCTGTAAGTTCTTGCGCTAAAGACAAGCATCTACTTCAAAGATAACTCTCTCTACCCCCCAGCTCCCTGGCTACACTATACCCATCTAATGATCTATGAGCCAGTGCTTCCACCAGAAAACACTAAGGGGTGCAACTTGGGTGGGCTCAGAATGGGCTAATGGGCCTAACCCGAAGGCCAGACCCGAACCAGTGTAAAATGACAACTCGGTCCAAAATGAACTTGCACTACAAAATAGTACCTCTCCCCACCTGAAATTTGCCTCCCCTGGTGATTCCTAACTACCACTCTAACCCAAATAGACCCGTCAAAAAAACATGATCTAAAGCCTGAAACTTTTGATATGTAAAATACCAAGTCTAGTTTCAAGATACAAAAACCTAACGTACCAATGCACTTACTGAGCTAGCAAGAAAAAGTTGCCCAGTCATAAAAATAATCTAGGGTTGATACTTCAAATTTCACTATCAACCCACCAGATACTCAACCCTCCTGTGATCATAACCCCTAACAATAAGACTCCCCCTTAAATAACTAAGAAACAACACATAATAAATTCCCATGGGTTCAACTTGTATAGTGACTTCAGTAGTAAAACAAATGATGTTTTAAAAACCAACCTGGAGGCCGAACAGTTTTTGCCGCCAGGTCACCAGTTCAACCATCCATTTTAAAAACATGCATCTATATATCTGTGTATAAACACATCTTATCATAAATAATGTATAGTTATATTCTATATGTAATAAGTATTATTTTATATTTAATTTATATTATTTAATTCAGTTTTTAAATTTTTATATGTAAAAAATGCAAAATTACAATTTGAGGCCAATAAAAGAAAAAAAAAATTCGGGAAATGCACCTAGGGCCCCTTGGAACACAGTTCTTGAAAAGTTACCCAAAATCAAAAAAAGATCAACCAACCAGACAGCGGAGTGCAAAGTTATGCCCATGGAAGTTGGTATACATATTTAGTGTGCAACCTATAACCCACTCAACAGGTTGAATGAGTCAACCGTTCAACTGCCCAGGTCAAAGGGTTTTTAACCAGGTCAACAGTTTTTGACCAATTCCCAAGTCTTAGGAGAATCAGACCTCAAATCATGGCCAGGTGATGGTTCAATGGTTCAATCAGACAGGTCTACGGCAGGTTGAAAACAGAGTAAAACCAATATTCAGTAGTCAATAGTGCTTAGTCATAAGGTGTATCCACTCACATTTTGCCAATTCTTCTTCAACAATGACACAAGGAAGTTGACACTGAGTTGCACATTTTGGAATATTTGCTTCTCCTCCATTGAGCAGTTCCCAACAGCAACTCCCATGCAAAGAACCTTCTTTAGTTGGAACTTCACCATGGCTTTAGTTTCGTTAACTTTTGACTCCAAGCTTTCCTGGTGAGTCACCAATGTTGGGAACTTTCCTGCATCGCCAAAAGAAACAAATAAGATACCCAGCATGGAAGGTAGTTTTAAATTCTATGCAATCAAAACAGAGTGTACACTGCATCAGCCCAATCAAAATACAATATTTTCACTCAAGCTTGAGAATATTACAAATCACATGGTGGATTGTGAATGCTCAGATACAGCATGAGTTGCAACAAGGTCTCATCCCAACTTCCCCTTTATAAAGCAAAGGCTTAGCAATTAAGAAACTGCTCATAGTTATATAGCCAATCTAAAAGAACACCACACCATCAAATTGATGGTTCTAATAATTGCCCATAGTTATAGCCAATCTATAAGTGGTTGTATAAAATCTACAATTCAGATCAGTTACTGTCTTGTTGGTCATATTTTTAAATGAAAGTGTAGGTGCTTAGCCACTTTCAAAAAAAACTAATTAGAGTTCATAGAAAGTGGACCAACATCAGAATACTGTCGGTGAGCTGACTGACCAATCACATAGATAGCTGCCCAGAAAGGCTTTCATGTGAATGGCTAATTAGCCACCAATGGGCATTCAAGTCATAACAGATCTAGGAAGAGCTATAAAAGCTACTAATGCCTATAAAAAGAAACATGTATAACCATTCAAATAAAAAATTATAACTGAGACAGCTGTTATGGAACAATACCCTAACAAGTAAAACATAAAGGGTATACAGCATACTACCCACAAGGATTAACAATGGACTTCATTTCTATTCACCGTTTTTAGGGGCCCATTAATCAGGATGCTCTTATTTCACTAGATTGATAATTGGGGTCCTTCTATCGAACCATGTTCAAGAGGACCCTTCTATTGAACCAATAACAAGAGGATCCAATTATTATAACTGTATAATTGAAAGGCATTACAACATCTCTAATACCAGCAAAAGAAGAAGCCACTGAGCAGAAAATCATGAGGAATGGGTAGATTAACTTTTAAGCTAAATAATCCCGTGGTATTTGCACTATTTGGATGCAAACCAATCAAGACAACATTCATGAAATAATGATAGTGCTTTCACCATTTGTCACCACATTAAGCATGTGGTGAATCAAAAAGATCAACAATTACATGGTTCAGATGTTTAAAAAAGGAAATACTGTTTATGATCAACAATGTCTTGAGACCAAAAGTTATACACTTCTACTTGCCTGCTTTGTTGAGACCAGGGCCAAGAAGACGAGGGATCTGCTTAATGATGGCTTCAGATGCAAGAAAAGCATGGTATCTCTTTGCAAGTTTCTTGACCAATTTCTTGTTTTTGTTTAGTTTCTTAAGCCCCTCCACATCCATATATTCCAATCCAATTTTCTCTGCCTATATTCCAAAGAAGAGAAAATGTAATAAACACAAATGCCACAATACCATGCAACAATATCACACTAATAAAATCTTAAAATAAAAAAATAGAACTAATCAAAAGAAAAGAAAAGAAAAAAATTATTTTCTTTGTCAGTTCATGAACTAACAAGGCTTAGTCAATTTTCTACCAGAATTGAACTTGTAAAGGAAAACATGTTACAGGCAGACATGCATATTGATTTAGAAGGTGTGCCTCGGTGCACAAGTGAGGCACATTTTAAGGTATGCACTTCACCTAGGTCCCAGACACACCACTTTCAAACGGTGCTTTTTAAGTATCGTGGCTGAGCCTATACACCCATCAACCCCTAGCGACAAGTCCAAACAAATCCGCATTAAGATTTTCGTAATCCCTAAAAAAGATTTTATAATTTTAATTTTTTTAAAATAACTTTTATTAGGATAAATGAATGAACAACATTAGCAAACATGGACTTGTTTGGGCTTGCCTCAAGGGGCTTGGTACAAAGGCAGCTAGTAGAATTAGGAATCAAAGATGTAACATCGCATTAACTATCTGAAAAAAAAAATGCAACTGAGAAAGAATTACAGAAATTAAAAGTTTGACATGCTTGAATATGTTTTGCAAACTAATTTTATTTTATTTTTGCATTGTTCACTTTGAATATGTTTAATATGTTATGTTTATGTATTTAAATTTGAGCTACTACATTATTTAAACATTTAGTTAAAAATTAAAGTTTGATTTTTTAATTAATACTATTTTTAGTATTTTCTTTTTTCTATTTTATTGCTTCTTTGCAATTTTTATTTTTTAAATTTTTTGCCTTGATTCAAAAAGGCCCACACTTCACATTGCACCTCGAGCACAAAATGGCCTTTGTACTTTCTTTGTGCCTTGCACTTTTAAAACACTGGACATGTATGACAAGTGCAATGGGTATGTGGAACCAAAGAAAGTCAATAAGGTAATACCTATGCATCATTAAATGAACCAAAAACAACATACAATGTAACAAACAAAAGAAAACAATAGATGGAGAGGATAACTCTAAGTTGATCTTTGTAGTGTAGTTGTTGCCTATCTTACTCTAAGTTTGCTGTCCACCAGACTGCCTCTCAATTCATCCATGACAATCATATCACTTTGTCATACACAAGACATGCATCCGATATATTAATTTTGTATATAGAACTTAGACAATGTCAACATCTATGAAAATAACAAGAAACATAGATACATATACATATGATATATGTAACAACAGTGCATAGCTTTGGGATCATAAAATGAAATATATATATATATAATGATCCCAATCATCTAGGGTCTTTGGAGAGGCGGACTGGATACTGTGCCAACTTTTGGCATTTTGCACAAAGTGACAGCTCTCAAACTCAAAAACCCATGTGGCATGTTCTCACTCTTGAAAACTTGAGATTTTATGATTACACCAAGCAATGGCCCCTATATCCCAAACATGATTAAACTCTATAATCTCCTCAACAAATGATTGTTACTATACACATGTGAAGGAAAAACCCTCAATCAAATGATTGTTACAATATACAATGTGAACTTTTTTCCCGTCAGAAGTTTGATCGAGTATAAACTACCTCTTCAACATGCTGTGCATCACCAAGCATGCAGATCTTCATCTTAGGACGAGGAATATGTGGCAGCTTGACAGAACCACTGAAACGCTTGTCCTTCTGAGGGTCATAGTTCTTCAAACCAATTTGGAGTTCAATGGTCTCCACAAAGTTACGTTTTTTCTCCTTGGTATCTGACATGATACCAGAGATTGCTTCTCTCAATGCATCACTCTGAAGTTTACTGCAAAAGGAAAAAATAAAAACAAAATAGATTTAGGTTATAATGAAAACAGATTCTACTTTGCAACAGCAATTCATGCATAATGCTTAAATAGACAGTAGCCATTCACTGGGTGGCATGGAACCATATCAGATTCACATTTCACATTAGTAGCTTAATAGACTAGGATTTAAAAACTCCTTGTTGGGTATGGACAGTATATTATATTCATGGATCTTAAGCAATCATAAGGCATACCACAACCCATCCAGGAGGGGCGGAGCTAGGATTTTTTATTGAGGGGGGCCAAAACATAGAAAACATGGATGGGGGGAGCAAAAGAAAGGAAACATGGGTAAGGGGCCAAAAATATAAGTGGAACTTAAATAGATTTTATGGGAATTTTGAAGACATGGGGGGGGGGCATGGCTCCCCTCCCCACCCCCTGGCTCCGCACCTGCATCCAGGCAAAAAATAGATAGATTCGGTAAGCTTGATTTTGCACATGGACATTGAAACTGAAAACAGACATATCTAATGGACCAGGACCCAAAGCCACAGGTATTGGCTACAGGAACAGTGAACCCTGCTTTCATTCAAGATATGCAATCATTTTGGGAATTCATAGCAACCCAGATGAAAAAAGCTTGGCTGTTTGGAAAATAACATGGGCTGTTTCAAATCTTCCTCCACATGACACATTACTCCACTTTGTTCTTTACTTGCCTTTTTAATTAAAAGAACATTGATTGCAATAACTTTCACCCCAGACCTATGTTAACATGTCATGCACATGAAGATTCAAAACAGCCCACACTGTTTTTTTCCAACCAGCCAAACTTATCCTGTGGGGAACGCATCATCCCCCCATTGAAATGATAAAGGAAAACCCCTTAAAAAAACAAACAATGTAACAGAATGCAAAACAAATAAAGCATACAGGGGCCTTCAATGTTCAAAGTTTCAACAACATATGCCCTGAATTGGGTTTATCATATCATATTGGAGGTAGCTATACAGCTTTTTCAAGGCATTTTAACAAAACACAAATTTAATAGTTAAATAACATTAAAACAACCCTCGTCTTAATTTTTGAAAAAAAGAAATTTAAAAAAAATATATGATTCATTAGGTACAAAGTACTGATACACCCCTTCCATCATATCAGGCTGTATCAATACTTTGAACCTTGCATGAAACTTAAGCTTCACTTGTTTTATTGGAAACAAAGTTTCTTTTCTTTTGATAAATGAAACAAAGTTTCACTTTTGTAGTAGGTACACCTTGTTAGACCCTTAACTTCAAATTTTCATTTCTCATTGAAGAAACAGAACATGCAATTCACCTATATACTTCAAACAATGTGAAAATAGATGTGAAATAGCCATATTTTATATATAGTAGCATGACAAACTTTCATTGTAAACCCTTTCTTAGATAATGGTTAATATTACTAAGAAAATCAAATAGGCGATGATATACTAAGGGAATTAAAAACTCATAAACTTGTTACAGTAAGAACAAAGGGACCACACACGTTTCCCCCTAGTAGAAATCATTATTTTAAATGGTTAAGAAGAACCACACAAGACAAAACAAACAAATGAACAACATAAAAGCTTTGCATTGATTTCAAACCCCATCATCTAGATGTCAAAATCCACCTGATGCAAGGACAGGTAACTCACTCTTTTGCTAGAACCAAGTACAAAAAGTGGTTGCCTCTTGAAATCCCTTCATAAATTTAAGGTTGTATTTTGTGCCATATCTGTTTCTACTTGAAACGTTTTGTTTTGAATATTTTGATCAATACAAATTTGTATACAACTGTTATTTGAGGCTTTTATAGTTGAAACAGGTATTCCTTAAAAGTCGATGTGTGGGGAGGTTGCTCGTGGCAAGTGTCTAACCAATGATAAGCTGATCGCAAGAGGTTTGATTCTTCCGCCTAGTAGCAGCCCTTCTGCAACTCTGTTCCTGAGACTGCAGATCATCTTTTAGCAGGCACATTTGGTCCTACTTCTTAGTAGACGGCATTTTGGTGGTCTTAGTAAGTGAGGCAGATCTTTCAGGCAGTTGCTGCCTGCGGCTATCATCTGGGCTATCATGATGGAGATACATAGCAGAGCTTTTGAAAACAAAGTCTCCTATCCGGAAGAATTATGCTGCAATGCGGCAGCAAAGTTTCTTTCTTGGACAGGCTATAATAACATTACTGTGGATCAGTTCTTTTGTAATTAGCCTACTTCTGATCCTTTTGAATACACACATAATTGTAAGCTCACAGGAGTCTCCCAAAAAGTTTCAGGTAGAAACAACAATAGAATCAAAAACAACCTAAATAGTTACTTCAAGAAAATACATTTGAGCAGATAATAGAGCACCCCCAAAGTTTTGACATAGAAAATTGGCAATATTAACATTTGCCGTATTGAAACAGAAAAATAAAGGCCACATCTTAAGGGGAAAAAAAAAAGCTATTCCGTGTTGTGAACTAGCAAACGGGTAAAAGAAGATAGATCAAAAAAGGATAAAACCCCGAAAGAGCAATCACATAAGGAAGAACGGAATGACGAATTCCCAGCTTTTGGGGCACAAATTCACGAGCTCAAATAACAATTCTTCTGATTTTCGATGTGAACAACGAAAACACTAGCATAGAGTCAACTAAATAAATCATGTTGTTCGGTTGTTCCAACAGGAAAATGATGAAGAAGAAGTATACCTCATGGCTACTATGTATGCTTTCAGGAGTTTCCTACGAGATCACTCTCCAGTCCTGAAAGTCAAATAACGTAAATCATTAGTAAAAGATCCGATTGTCCAACCAGAATACAGATCTTTAACCTGAACCATAAACAATTTACTAGCCAGAAGAGTTTGCTAAAGGAGCTTGCAGCAAACGAGAAAGAGTAACCGAACTCACTCAAGCTAAGCGGCGGAGATCAAAACCCTAAACCAGGGTTTCTTACCAGCCGAATTTTCTAATGGGAGGAGCCGAGCAGGTCCCCCTCTCGCGGTATAAAACGCAGGGAAACCCTAGGCACGTGCTTATCACACGAGTTCTTAAATAAAACTAATATGTCATAATAACCCTAGGGGTGTCCATGAAAAATCGAAAAATTGAACCCAAAAATGCGGTTAACCGAATCAATTGGTTTTGGTTCGATATTATATATTATAAATATAAAAAACTGAAAAATCGATGAATCAAATCGGTCAAAAATTAAAACCGATGATACCGATTCGATTTGCAAAAAATTGCCCATAATTCGATTAACCGAACCATGAACACCCTACCACTCTATCCTAATTTATAATTTGTCCCCGTAACGGACTGGGCCCAACATGGCACTTTTTTGGGGGGTAAAACATTAAAACATGTCCTGGATTTTCAGAAATTGATTTAAACATATACTAAGATTTTAAAATATACATAAAAATATGTTGTGGAGGGATCTACAGGACTTAAATATACCCTCCATCAATGAGACATCACTTTTGCACTCATAAAACAATTGTAAAATCCTATTTTATACTCCTTAATATAAGATAACTTGTTTTGAAAATCTGAAACCATAGTTTCAAATTTGACACGACATCAACAAAGTAATCATAGTATTGATCTTAAATCAAATAGTTTTTAAGTCAATACATCTTCCTTGAATTACACAGTTCAAGTTCAAAATTATTAGAGAAGTAATATCTCTACATCTCAATAATAAAAAAATAATATAACAAAAAATCACAAGAAATAAGTATAAATTTGAGAACTTTAGTACCTTGTTGGATTGCCTCAATAGGTGAATTGTCTAAGTCATGTTTTTAATATACAATCAAGAACAAACAGTACATAGGAATTGTAGATCACAAAAACCTTCACCTATTGTTATTAGCCAAAGAAGAAAAGAGTGTTGGAGACAAAGGCCCAGCCTTTATGTTCAATTGATTTGGAATGGGAAGCTTGAATATTAGGTAGATCAAAGGCCCAGCCTTTTTTGTTTTTGTTTTTTTTTTCTTAATTTGAAAGGTAATCAAAGGCCCATGGTATATTTAAGTCAATTAATGAAAATCCAATATATGTTTTAAGTCTTTTACCCTTTTATGAATTAAACCATCTAGCAATATCCTCTTGAATTGAGGTGGATTTCTTCGTTGCAGCTCAGTTCTAAGCTTCTATGTGCAAAAGCCTTGGCAATTTGGCTAGCTTGTGTGTAGCTGGTTTTTGGGTGTTATCTATGCTATTGTTGGGTTGGATTTCAGTCAACCAATCTCCTATCTGAACAGCCCTGTTTTAGCTTCCTTCTCCCCTTTTATAGCCATTCGGAATGGCATCCATCATCTCATCTCCAATTGTTTAGAAGTCTCTTTTTGTTCATGTTAAGCAAGATTCAAATACTTTGGCCCATGAGTTGGCCTTGTCCTTGGCCCAGGGTGTGGGTTTGCATTTTTGGATCTGCTTTCCTCTTTGTTTTTTAATGAGATCACATTGATTACCAAAAAATCAAGGTAGAGCATAGGGTTGCCTACCAAACACAATCCAAATCAAAAAGTTTGCTTCTGAGCCAAAATATGGGAACCCTATATGTAATGCACGAGTTTTGTTAAGAAAAACTGAAATTAAAGGATACTCTCATATAATTCACATTTCAAAATTGATTTGAGCCAAGGTGATCCAAGCCCAATTCAAAACATTATTCATTGGGTTATGTTTTAGCAAGGTTTAAAGTATTAATACACCCAATACGCATGAACAGGCGTATCAAATGTTTTGATACCACAAACATCAGCTTTTTAGTTTTTTTTTTTTTCTCAAAATTGGTTAGAGGTATCTTAGGTTTGTCTACGCCCTGAAAGTACCCAAAATTCCAAACCCCTCGTATTTGTAGTGTTAGTGGCTTTTCGGTGCAATGCAATGTGCCTAGTAATCCAACTTAGTTTTTGCACGGATTGGCTTAGCCTTTTTGAGCTTTGAGTTGGGATTGGGCCCTAAACTTGTATTAGGCTTTGGGTTAAGGCTTCAAGCAGCTCGAGGAGAGTTAAAGCCCCAATCTCGGCCTGACACAACTTGAGTCCACTGAAACAAATACATATGTATGAAAGCATAGTTGCTCACGTCACCCTTGCTCTCCATTTTCCCTTCCCCCTTTCCTACTTCATCCTAAACACTTTCTCTCTCTCTCTCTCTCACACACACACACACATATTCTCCCTTCCTAGCTCTCTCATTAAGCCAAGTCACTAGGGATTTAGCCTATCTTATTAAACCACATGAGCACCTTTTCTTTCCTCCATTTTTATCCCCAAAGAAATCCCTGACATTTCTAACAAAGGAAACATTCTAGGATAGGTAACTTTCTACTACCAAAATTAGTTACAACATTGAAACAAGAAAATATAGAAGGAACAAGAGATTGGAGATTGAATTCGGCCTAGAGTGATAGATGTCATCTCTATCACTCATCATGAAACCACCGAGAGTATATGTGAGAGCAGTGTTTTATTTGTTAGAGCAAATGAATTGGAAAAATGCAAGCCTATCCCTAACCTGGAACATAATCTCAAGTCTCCACTACACTTTAAAGCTTGGTATACACCAAAGCATATAGAGTTGTAATGTGGGCTATGCATGATCCACTTTTGTGAGCTGCTTGCACTGTAGTGTGTTGTGTTGTACTGGCATGCAGGCTTGGCATGTCGTGCCAACTCAACACAAATACCCCAGGAGTGAAGTTCATCACGACTCGAGGTTCGAGCCCTAGCAAGTTGGGGTCGTGGGCCTGTCTTTTTCTTTTAACTTTTTTTTTCTATTTTTGTGCGAAGTAAAAAATGGCATAGAATTGAAGAATAAAAAATAAACAAAAAACACAAAACATTAAGAAATTAGACAACCAATTGAAAAGAAAATTCTACAAAAATTATTCCATTTGAATTTAATGTTTACAATTCATTTGATCAATTGATCATAACATTAAATTGAAAAAATACAATGGAATTTAATAAAATAATAACAAAATTGTAAATAAAAAAATTTACAATGGGATTGAAAAATCACAAATAACTTTCAAATAAAACTGAAAACCAAAGTTTACAATAATGTTAAAAATATTTGTACAACTATTGAATATTCACAAAAAATGGCTWCAATATGTCATTGATATTGAAATCCCTTCATGACTTTTACAATTATGTCCCTTGAAATCCCTTCATGATTTATGTGTCATGCCCTCCTCGGTCTTGCAATATGTTATTGGCATCTAGCCAATCCTTCAAGCATATGTACATTTTTAGGCTTTCGTCATTCGTATCACTTTTTTTGTCATCTAATACCTCGGTACTTGCACTAAAAACATGACTCCATTGGATTGTAGACTCCAGAGGGGTTAGTAGATCACATACCATGGTGGTAAGAACAAGATCATTTTTCACTATGCTAAAATAACAAAGGAGCGTTGGCATTAAGGAGAGGAATGGGAAGGGGGAATGGAGAAAGGATAAAAGTTAACGAGGAAAGGAAAAAAGGAGAAGCATATAGTGCAATGTTGTGGCATGGCATAAAAGGGTAACCAGATTCTAAGCTTTTGAAATTAAAAGGGTTAAAAAGAAAATTCCTTATTTATTTGTCTTTTTTCCAAATAGTAATTTTGAGGAAAGTTGATGTAGTTGCCATGAAAAAACTTGGTTGTTTGGTGAAAAAAGCAACCAAGGCTTTTTTACAACTTATTGTGCATGAGTTGGTTCATCGGTTGGTTCAATTGGTAAAATCGTGAACTGGTTAACTAGCCAGTTAGGTTGGACTATAAAAATGGTGGTAAAAAAAAAAAGGTCAAACTGACCAACCAGCTACTCCAAGTAGGGAACCGGTGAAGCTGTCCCATTTTCATAAAATTGGCTAGTCTTATTCATTTTTTAAACTTTTGGAAGTCACATCTTTGCGATCAGTTGTTGAATTAGGATGGTATTTTTTATTTTATTTTGCGTAAGTTTTTGCAACCTATCTGTTCCAAGTTGTTGGAGGTGCTTTGGCCCATTATTTTTCCTAAAAATGTTTTCTTTGGCCTAAAATTTTAATTTACATTATAGAAATTAAACCTGAATAAAAAATAAATATTTTATATGCATAACATATAATTATATGTTTTGAATTTATGTATACAATTAATATCACATATATATTATAATAATGCATATTACATATATATTATATTATATATCTATATTATGATGTGTCATGGATTAGGGAAAGTGGTTCAATCTTTGAGGCGGTTCTTTAAACATTGAGAATAACTTATAACCAACAAACCATTGTCACAAAAGTAGTAATCAATTAGGTATTAGTTCATGGAAATTCATGGGGAGTTTGATAGTTAAAGTTCTTTAAATAGTATGGTTTTCAACATCATAGATTAATCCATTGAAATAGATCTATGAGTAAAGTTGGCTTGATTGTTAAATCTATACTACTATTAAAAGTGTGAATGAGGTTTAGATTATCGGATTTTTTTACCAAAATTACCTTCCCTCTTTGAACTTGGTATCCCAATATTTGTGAGGGCAAAATAACATAATTCGAACTACTACTTTTATAGAACTCATTATATTTATCATAATTACTTCCTATATTTAAGATATTAAGTCTCATTCCCTTTCATTAAATCTTACATTTAAAGCACCCTAAACAAATGAGTTTTGTGGACTTTTTTTTACTAAAACACCCCTATTTATGAATTTAATCCCTCTTTAACTATGCAGGATAAAAATGCAATTTAAAGTACTATTACTTTAAGTTCATTAAATTTCCTCTCATTAAGGTATTCACTCTCATTCTCTCTCCTTAGATACTTTATTTGAAGTATTTTTTGTTTTTCACCAATAAATTCTACAAAGTAAATCTATATCTAATATTTTTTAACAATGTAAGGCCTATGTTCAAAACCAACATGAAAAATAATTAAATAAACCACCATTTTGTTTGAGTGGCAAGTAAATAGTTCAACCATCAGCGTCAAATGGGCCAACCAATGTTCTCATAGTTAAATAATAAAAAGTTAAAAATAAATATAAATATTACAAAAATTAAAAATGTGACAAATATTTAGGAGCATCTCTAATATTTATCATACCAAACAACACTAAGCATGCTAAATAAAATTATTTTTATTTGAAGAAAATGAAATACAACATTTAAAACTAACCCAAAAATGAAATTATTTTCCTATTCAAGTGGTGGGTCAATGGTTTAACCTTGTAGGTCAAATGGGTCAGCCCATGATATCATAAATAAATAATAAAGTTTTAAAAAAGATACAGATACATAAATTATTAAAACATAAAAAATGGTGTAAAAAAAGACACTCGGGTACTCTAATTAATGGTCAATGGTCCATAGGGAGGCAAATTAGGTAGGCTTAACTTGATCTCAAATCGACCTAGCTTGTAATTTAAGACAAGCTAGCTTCAATTTTTGGTCCTTGACTTGGGCCTAAGCCTTAGTTCAAAAGTGTGGGCTTTTTTATTAGCCCAAGTAGGGGTGAGTATGGGTCGGTTCTAAGTTTTTGGAACCTAACCTACCTTGTGAAGGTCGATTCTAGCCTTGGCAGTTTTGAGGTTGGTTATAGAGTCTACCCATGGAACCTGTTCTTTATTTACTCCCCCCCTTAAAAAGAAAAAAAAAAAGAAAAGAAACATGTTATTCAAAAACTTAATTTTCAATAATGATAATATATAGTTTAAAACTCATACTATATTTATTGGTTAAATTGAGTAACTTAATATGTAGATTATCATAATATATTAATATATGGTTGAAAATTTGTCATTATGATTTAAATTTTGTAAATATTACCTTTTACATTATTTATTATACACACATAAATATTAGAATGAAAACAAATGAACAAATCACTTAAGTAACTCAATGGTCAAGTGAGACCATAGCTTTTGTAACCATGAGTTATTGGGCTCAAATCTTAAAGTCCTTAAAAAATATTTGGGTTTATTTAAAGGCAAGTCCGGTTCCAAGGCCAGTTCATCAGATTAGTTTGGGTAAGGTAAACCCTAAACACTGGAACTAACCTGTGTGGGAACCTACTTGATTTGCACCATGATGGTCCAATCGTTTGGGTAAGTGAGTTAATCAGTGATGTCATAATTAAATAATAAAAATTAAAAAAAAACATAAACTTTACACAAAAGTTTGAGATATCTAAGATATTATAAAATTATCATATCAAACAAAAAAGTTTGATAAACAAAAATTGTTTTTATAACTAATTATGCAAATGGAATAAAAATGTAAAGTTGCCCAAAAATGAGATTGCTTTTTTAAGCCAAATAGGCCAATACATGGTGTCATAATTATATAATAAAAATTCAAAATAATAGATACAAATAAAAAAATGTAGAAAACACACAAATTTGTACACATTTATAATATCATATGTTTATCCTATTAAACAAAAATAAATATGATAAATAAGAAGTAATTTTAACAATGAAAATGATATATAAAATCTACTATCTTAAATTTATTTTATTAATAATATATAACATTTTATCATTTTTTTAAAGTCTAAGGGCTCGTAGTTGGAATCAAAATCAAAATCGATTGGAATTGGAATGGTCAATTCCCCCACCTTTTTTGTTTAGATTGGAATTTGAATTGGAATCAACTAGAATTCTCATTATCAAGAGAGGGGGAGGGAATGGCCATTCCACAAGGAATGGAAGTGAGATTCTAGTTCCATCCAACCAAACAATTCTACATCCCTATTCCCATGAACCAAATGGAYCCCAATATTCTTACCATTTGACTTTTGATTTATTAATCTTATTTATTTAATATCCAAAATCCAATTTAAATCCGATGGATATGAATAGATTATAATTTGTATTATATTATATAGCGATATGGACCATGTCAGCAGCCCTCTCATTCTCCCATTCCCCTTCTCTCATTTATCCTTAAATCTCTCTCCTTTCTCCTTTCTCCCTTATCCCTTCCCAACCCTTCTATGTAGCCATGTGGCAGCTCTCTCTTTTTCAATAGAGTCCCACTCTCCCATGTTTCCAATAACTTAGCCAATCTCCTCCTAAAATTTCCCTTAAATTTTCTCTCCCACCTAAAATTCATCCTAAAACACTACTTAATCTATATTACATGCCCAAAAACCATCTAAAAACCAAGAATACAATTAAATAATTAATTTGGGTAGTTAAATTAATTCATGAAATGTTTTTGATATTTTCAATAATTAATGATACTACTGAATATTATTCAATAAATATCAGTACCTAAACTATAAATTTTCGTAATTGTGGTCAATTGTAAAATTTAATTACTAAAAATTACTGATTTTGTTAATTTAATTTCAAAAAAAATTAAAATTAATTATTGAAATCAATAATTACTAAAAAAGTAATAATTAATTAAAATATTATTAAATACAAATTTAAAATTAAAAACTACCCATAATTCTTCATTGGAAATTTTATTTCAATAAATATAAATTTATTTTTTTACATTTTCAATAATTTTGATATTATAAGTAGTTTTTCAGCAATAAATAGTTATTGATATTTTCAGTAGTTTTGGTTAATTTATTAATATTTAATGATATTATCAGATAATAATTAAAATTATTTAGTAATTTTTTAGTAGAAAATTAATTTCAATAAATATATTTTATATTTTCAATAATTTTGATATTTACTATAATTTTTGAGCAATAATTAGTGAATTTGGTAATTTAATTTAGTGAGAGCTAAATTGTAAAACTTCCAATTAAATAAATAATTGAAAAGTTTTATTAATTTCTATAAATATTGGATACTACATTTATAATTACCATAATTACCATTGGAAAAAAATAAGCATGCATCTTCGATCCCCAATAGAGATGAATTCCCCATCAGGGTGTGATGTGGACTTCACTTTCCATCCCCAATCAGGTATTCTTATTAATTCCATCCTTGCCCTTGTCCCCGCTAAGGCAGTCTCCATTCCCATCCCCGCCTCATCGGAGAGGCTGAGTACTTGGTGGGGATGGAGAAAATTGCCATCCCTACCCCCAGTTTATGTAGCCCCATAAAGCTCTATAAACCTTTTAACATGTTTTTCCCGTGCATTGGACGGACCCAATGGTTCAAATATGAGAAATCTAATTTGGATCTAGTAATATCCATTTCCATATAATTCGTTTTAATTCCCCGTCATTTTGCCACACAGAAAAAAACAAGAAAAAAGGAGAAATGGATGGAGTGGCAAGGTGGTTTGATGTTTCCAGCTTCGATTGCATTTTGCACATAGATAACAATAAAAATAAAAAAATGGTAAATTACAAAGACCCCCCTATACTATGGGGGTCTGTGATAAAGATCCCTGTACTTTGTTTTGCGATAAAGACCTCTGTGTATTATGACCATGAGACAAAGACCCCCTTGACTTGACTGTTAAATCAGAAGACGGAATGTGCTAAATTACCAAAATACTCCACTAAACTTTTTTATTTTATTTTTTTGTCATTTTTCTCTTAAAACTAATTTAACCTGTTGTTTTCTCTTTTTTTTTTCTTAATTTTCCCTCCCTCACTGTCCAACCTACGAAAAAAAAAGAAAAGTTGCAAATCAAAGAAAATCAAACCCCAAATAAATAAATTAAAAGAAAAAAGAAGCAAAAACCTCCAATGGCGTGTTGGTTGTTGTGGAGAAAACGATAAGAACCTGTCGAGATTCATGATTAACATCACACTAACCTTCAGTCAACTTCTGCAATTGACTGAAGCAATTGCCGAATGGCACCAACTTTTTATGAAGGTTCTCAGCTCTCTCTGGTCACGATGGCGCTAGCTTTTGCCATGTATGTTGAGAAGAGTACCCATCTTCTGAATGGTGCCCGCTTCTGTTACGAAGGAATGACTATCCGGGTTGTGCTTGGAGATGAAACGAAGCTCACAGATTGCCTCAGTTTGTTTTGAAACGGAACTCAACTTCTGCATTAGAAAAAAACGGAAAGGGGAAGAAGAGAGATCAGGGGAGAGAGGAAGGACTTCGAAATTCTGTCGTCGCTGTTGTTCGTGTATTGTGAGGTCGGAAAAGATGAATAGTGTTTTTCTCCCAAGGGTACTATGGGATTAAAAAATATTGTAACGGCATATTTCGACAAAAAATTAACGAAAGGGGTTTTTGTCTCACCGTCATATTATAGGAGGGTCTTTATCGCAAAACAAAATACACGGGGTCTTTGTCACATAGCCATAGTACGGGGGTTTTGTAATTTACCTTAAAAAAATTCAAGCTTGCGGACAGTGTGAAATCAATAATGCGCACTCGTCGACTTTGGACTCTGCTCAGTGGTCACGCACAGACATTCACGTAATCCAAAACAATAATCTTAAAAAATTGAGACAAACGCAGAGAATCCACATGCCCATTTTGGTAAAATACACTACTGTTAACTGTAGAAGCAGTGGAATGAAGCGAAAAAAAAAAAAAACTGTAGAAGCAGTGGTTTCATTCGTCTCGCTTAGGTCAAATGTTCGACAACTCCTTTCTGTCGCTATTTCTTTACCAACTTCACTCCAAAAACGTCTCCTCCATTTGGTGTGAAATGAACCGATCAAAGTCCGCAACTCACTGAATGTCGAAAAAGCAAATCAAATAGAAATACTCTCCCAAAATATTCTTATACAAATCTCTTGGTTTCTGAAAATTGTCATTTTTTTTTTAATTTTTTTTTTCTGATGGGTCGTGGGCTCGTGGTCTTCAGGTCTAATCTCTACCCATAATTGCAAATAGACATCGAAAGATTTTGTTTTTATTAGATTTTTATTATTAGAATAGTGAAAGCTTTTTCTTAATTAATGGTGAAGAAGACACTCGTTTGAGCTTTTGGTTGAGGGCTTCCCCTGAAACCCGCTTTTAATTCTTGTAGTCTTTTCTTTATTTTGCAAGTTTTTTTTTTTAATCTTCCTCTCTCTCTCTCTCTTCCCCTGAAGTTCTGGGAATTTGACGATCGGGATCTGAGAACTGAGATTAGTTCAGTTAAGTTTGATTCCAAAAAGTCGATCTCATAGTTTGGATGTTATTCTAAGGGAGAAGTGTTTGTGGTAATGGAATTGAACAGCCCAGTTGTTCTAGAAGAAACCCAATTGAAATTCAAAAGAAGTTGTATTCTACCGTTAAATTCAGCAGTAGTGTTGTTGGGTTCCTTCACTTTTGCACGACAGTAGTACTTCTTTTGGATATGACGGCATGGAGTTCAAGAAGGAGAAGCTTGTGAGGTAATTAGGATTTTTGCTTTCTCCTGTTTCTGCTTTTCATTATTAGTTTAGGTTTTAGGAATTCCTGGTATTTTGTATAATGGCTTTTGCAATTCTTAGGTTTTATCCTGATGGGAAGCAACAAAACCCTGAGTTTCTCTGGGAAAAAGGCGATTCTCAGCGCCTTGAGAAAGCGGTGCCATTGTACAGGGTTTCAACTCCTCTGCTGAAACCGGATGGTGGAGGTGGGGGCAGGAGTAGAGTTGGTGGGGTTTTGAGTTTAGGGAGGTCTAAAGTCTTTCCAGAGGACCATGAGCCATGGAGGAAGAGGATACTTGACCCAGGCAGCGAGATTGTGTTGCAGTGGAACCGGGTTTTTCTTATCTCCTGCTTGTTAGCACTATTTGTTGATCCATTGTATTTTTACTTGCCTTCAGTTGGGGGCAATGGTAGCTCATGTATAAAGACGGATTTGAACCTGAGCATTGTTGTGACCTGTTTCCGGACTGTAGCTGATCTGTTTTATCTGCTGCACATGATTATTAAGTTTCGAACGGCATATGTAGCACCTAGCTCTCGGGTGTTCGGGAGGGGTGAACTTGTCATGGATTCTAAGAAGATTGCAAGGAGATACTTAAAATCAGATTTCTTCATAGATCTGGCAGCGACATTGCCTCTTCCTCAAGTAATCTCTTGAACCTTTATTGATGAAAATGCCGTTCTATGGTTTCTTAGGATGATCCATGTGTACTTGCTTGTTGTGCTTCTGTTCTATGCTCTTCTCATGATGTTATGCAATCATATACTTACACACACACACACCAAGCAGAAGGCATTCTGGATGGGGCACTAATATGCCTCTGATATCAAGTCAGTCTATGTAATGGATAAGTTATTGATCATATAAATCAGAGAGTAGTATGTTAATTTAAATTGGAAGGGGCCGATTGTCTCCATGCATACAGTGGTGATAGCGAATTTGGATTAGCTGAATGCTTTAGCTGTGTAACAGGCTGTGGTAAAAATGATAATGCCCCACACCAATGATAAAATACATGGGGCCCACACTGAGAAGTTAAATGGTTGTGGGCCCCATGTATTTTATGACTTATACGGAGTGTTGTAATTGGTTCCACAACCTGCTGAACAGCTATTGCATTCAGCTAATCCTATCTCGGTGATTGCTGGGATTGTGTTTGTGTATTTGACTGGATTTCTTTTTTATTCACAGTTCATGAGGGCACTTACCCTTTTCTCCCCTTGCTTGAAGTAGCTAAGTTAGGTTTGGAACAATTTACCTTTTCTGCTAACTGCATTGTCTGCCCAATTGAGACTTGAGTCTTTTATTCTACTGGAAAATGTTGATCCAGCCTTTGCAGTTATCTAAAATTGAAGCTGTTATTAGTCTGTCTCTAGATGGAATGAAACATGAAAATAGTGGTAGGGAAATTGACTTTTTCATGCAGAAACTAGTGAGCAATTGTTCTTGGGAGATTTTTTGTTTGAGAGAAGACTCATGCTTGAGAGGCTACTACCTCTGATTAGAAGCTGCCTAATAGCAAAACAGACATCGTTGATCTTGTATTATGCATGGATTCTCTCTGACGCTAATTTGCTGGTTTAAAAGTGATTGGTTGCATCAGGACCTCCCTATTAATTATGATATTAATTGATAGTGTTATGCTTTTTACAATCTTAGAATCGGATTATCAATGTATACATTCAGAAAACAGTTGAAGCTATGGAAAACAACATCTGTGATAATCTTTGTGGAGTTCTGGCCATGATGGTTGGTAAGACAAAGTAGGTTCCATGTTGGGGGCAATGTGTTTGATAGAAGATTCATTCTACCAAAGTTATGTAGAAATAGTTCAGCATCCTGATTTCTACTCTTGTATTGGCCGTTGTGTATGCGTTCATCTTGGGTTCTAGCATGTCTAAGTGCTAGTTTTCGAACATCCCCCTTGGGTTCTAGTTAGGTTTTCTTTGGCCTGTGTCTGTTTATAACTAAGACTCAGTTTGGAAAGAGTACAAATACAAATACGTATAGTACAAATACATACAAAATAATACAAAATACAAGGTTTTGCACTCTACAAATTTGTATTTGTACTCTTTCCACCACTTAAGATTAGAAAACTAGAATTCCTGTTCTAGATGAGTATTTAGATAATAGTTAATACTTATCTAAAAAGAAAACAAGAGGCTTGTTTTATTTTTTTTAATTTTCCAGCTGTGAATAATTTTTTTTTTGATGAATGAACATAATTTATTAATTCAGAATATAAGGCAATACAGGAAACCCATGAAGAGGCACGAGCTGTTACCTCTAGGTTTTGAGGTCTCTTTTTATTTATGGTAGTTTGATTCTTAAACTTTAGGATATTTGAATGGAAGTAAACCATAGTTTTTTCTTTCTGTGCAGATCGTCATTTGGTTTATCATACCAGCAATTAGAAGCTCTCATGCTGATCATAACAACAATGCTCTAGCACTGATTGTACTTATCCAATATGTACCCAGATTGTATCTAATTTTCCCATTAAGTTCTCAGATCATTAAGGCTACTGGAGTTGTAACAAAGACTGCTTGGGCTGGGGCTGCATATAATCTGCTGCTGTACATGATAGCTAGTCATGTATGCAACTTCTGTTTTATTTCATTTTGTTGTTGTTGTTGTTATTATTATTACTATTTTATCTTTTATACTCACTCTTAATATTTATCTACTTGGGGGTTTCTTGATAACATTGCTTTTAGGATTTCTTAACAATTTCCATCAGGCATTTCAATATAGGCTCCTCACAATTACTTTTCTGTTGTTTTAGGTGCTAGGGGCATCATGGTATTTACTATCAATTGAACGGCATACAGCCTGCTGGAAATCAGAATGCAAAAAAGAAACTGCGCCTATGTTTTGTAGCCTTAATTATTTAGACTGTAGTTCTTTGGACAATGACAAGCGCAAAGTTTGGGCAAACAGTACAAATGTGTTTAGTAATTGTAATCCTTCTCAAGACATCAGTTTCAAATATGGCATATTTGAAAAAGCAGTGACTAACAGTGTTGTTTCTTCAAAGTTCCTTGAGAAATACTTCTATTGCTTGTGGTGGGGCTTGCAAAATTTAAGGTACTGTTTTGTTTACTGTTGTTCATTTCATATACTCTAGTGCAATAGCCTTGGTTTATCCCTGCCATTGTTTCTTAACCTATTTGAAAGGGCATTCTGTTTATTTTATATATTATAACAGATATACAAATGTTTATACTATTAGTAGTGGTGGTGACACTGATGATGATAATGACAAGAAACATATCAACATCTATAAATACTTCATTTTATTTAAAGTCACATTTGGTTATTTTGACTTGTACATTGTACTTGTGTTTTACATGTTTTTGTCTGTAGAATGGTATGTTTTCTGCAAGCCCCCATGTATTGCTTCTTTCTCTTGTTCAGTGGAAATTTTCTAACTTATCTGACACCTACCAGGTGGCTGGGTATAAATAGATTACTAATAACCGATCAATTACATCAATGCCCCTGTTAAGTAAAAAAGGACTGTAATGTCCTTAAAAAAGTCTAATCTACCTTACATAACCTTTTAACATAAAATGACATAGGATCACACTAACACTTAAGCTAAAATAACATGGGGCCACACTAATATGTCAACAGATATCATGCATAGAGAATATTGTGAATTCATCTGAAGTCCTTATCCAATATTACCACTATCACTAAAATACTTTCGATGATATCATCTTTGTCTCTGCTTTACCCTAAAATATTCTCTTGATTATTTCCTCCCAAATCCATATCATTATCGACCTTGTGCATCTACATGATCTTCCCTTTTTAAACATGGAAATAAATGCTGGTTTGAAATATTGGAAGATCCCATCTGCAATAAAATAAAGAGAGAAATCATCTTCAAATCTCCAAATACTAGAAGCATAAGAATAAGAGATTAGTATATGGTATGTACTATGTAGTTTGTTTGCATGGATTGCAAAGAACATCCCAATGTGGAGACAAACACTAATCAGGTCTTCTTGATAACATCCTAATTTAACCCATTTCCTTTTTGTTAAATTAAGTTTGATTGTTTCTGCCCAGACCCGCATTGCTCAGTCTGATCCACCATGGGAATTTCCTAGCCTGGGCTGAAGTTTTCTTGCCTGGCCTGGCTTGGGCCTGCATCAAGCCTGCACATGATATGGGCAAGGTCTGGACCCTAAAATTCTAGGTCCAGACAGCTTGGCCTGGCCTGGAAGTTTAATAATAATATTTCTATGATTCCAGAAGGGTATGATACTAGAAGAACTTTGACCAACCAGAACCCTCCTGAATTTTGATGAATACCAGCTGATTTTTTACTGCTTTTATGATACTGGTTGTTTGCTTATCAATTTTTAGGTAGCATGACTTTTCAGTATCATAGTCAGACTCTATTATAATATATTAAAATATGTATAATAGGCAGACTCTATTATAAGATATTAATATATTAAAATATGTATAATAAATAATATATATTTCTGTAATTATAAATATAAACTTAGACTATAATAGGTTTGCACTATGATGGGAGCTTCTTCGAGGGAGCTCAACCTCCTGAAAAAGAGTTACAGTGGAGAGGTGAGAGGGGTGGGGAAGAGAAGAGAAACAGAGAGAGAGAGAGAGAGAGAGAGCTGAGAAAGAGGAGATTTGAATTATTCTGTTCTAAGCAGTTGGTTACATAACAACCACTTTATATAATGATTAAACGATCTCCATGCTGCTGGTGCTAGCTGTAGTGGGCTGACGTGCCCTCCTGGTGTAAATATATCTGACAGGTGTATGGATCAGTGTCTCTGCTCGCTGGTACCTGGGCCTGGGCCAAGTCATGGACCTGGGCTGAAGTGACTTGTCCAGGCGGGCCTGGAATCTGGGCTTGGTGAGGAGCATTGCCTTGGGTCCTATCAGATTATATTTTAATTTTTAAAATATAATTTTATTAATTTGTATGAGCAAGTCCAGATGCCTGGCCTGGGCCTAGGCATGTATTATCAGACCCAGGCTGTGGGCAGCCCAAAATGCTGTTACTACCCTGTGAAAATGTGGCCCGGCTTGACCCATGATCATCCCTATAATAAATCCATCAAAGCTTAGGTTCTATCTAATTTTTACTACACTAGTATGTATCCATGATGGTTGGGACATCATTAGTTCTTGGAGGCTAAATACGAGCTAAAAAGCTTGTTATAAAGAAGGAAAGTTAGTGATTCTTACTAGCATGATATTTATAATGTGATAAGACTCCTTAAAAAGGGTACTTGTACATAGTTTTGTTTCACTATTTTATAATTAGTAAAATTAGTTTTGTTTCACTATTTTATAATTAGTAAAATTTGATGGTTATTGATAAAAAATGCTGAAGAATAATAGGTTTTACCATAGATGCAGTGAAAAAAGATTAGTAGATTATTTTCTCAATTCAATGTGGTTTTCTAGTTGTTTGCTAGTCATACCCCCGATAATTTGGATTAGTCTAGACTACTAATTTGAATATGCATACTCTTTTTTTTTTTTTTTTTTTTCTGCACTTGTATTGTGGAAAGTCCTCCTAGGAATTGTTTTGGCTTCTCTATGACATGTGGCTCAAAGGATACCGCATCTAATATTTTTATAAGGAAACACATATATTTCATGTTAGACAATCCGTTACAGAAGCTCACCACTGATGAGTCTGCTTGTACGTGTGGAATATTAATTGACTAACAAAATGGATAGCATGGAAAAGAGTTTTATTTTTCTTTCTAAAATTGAATGTTTATAGAAAATGAATTGCCTGAAAAATAGGGCTGCAAATGGTATCTGCTTTTCAGAATTCAATTTGAGTAAGATCTGGTCAAGGGTGATCTGAATTTGATCCATTTATATTTGGATCAAATATGGATCTACCCCTATCTGATCCAATATGATCTGATTCAGTTCAACTTGAATGTATATTTACATATGTTTAAAATTTATATTGTATCTATTAGTAAAACTGGGTTGGGCGTGTATTTTTGGCTTTCTGTTTGTATTTTTACTAAATTGTCATAGGTTTAAGTTTCATACAAGTCATTTTCAATTGATTTTCTTTTTGTATACAATATCAAAGTTGTTTTTAGTTCATTCCGTTGATAATATATAGTATTTTGATCGGTTTAATTTACTATATTAATGCTATTCAAGATCCAATTGCCACAAAAAGACAATTTTGTGGCAATGTGTTCGTGGAGCTGTTCTTTGGGGGCTGTGGGATGAAAGAAATGCTAGAACATTTGAGAAGGTAAGAATGGCTGAATAGTTGATTGAGCTTACTATGATTAGAGTTGCTCATCGGGCCTTGGTATGTGAAGAGTTTAGAGACATTACTTTTAACGATCTGGTGAAGGGTTGGAGGGTTGTAGCTGATTTCAAGTCAGGAAACCTGATTAGATTGGTTGAGCGGATTGCTCCAAGGTGGGTATCGGGCCTTGGTATGTGAAGAGTTTAGAGACATTACTTTTAACGACCTGGTGAAGGGTTGGAGGGTTGTAGCTGATTTCAAGTCAGGAAACCTGATTAGATTGGTTGAGCGGATTGCTCCAAGGTGGGTAAGATTAAATTCAATTTTGATGGATGTAGTCTTGGAAACCCTGGTGAATCAGGTATTGGGGGTGTAATTAGTGACCATAGTGGTGACTTGCTACGAGCTGAGATGTTCACTTTACTTCAGGGTTTAAAGTTGTTGACATTGTAGGGAATGAAGGAGGTTGTCAAATGGTAATTTATTGGATGAAAGCTCATGATTCAGTCCCTTGGGAATTCAGGCTGATGGTGAGACTGGCATAGGCCTTGGCTGCAGGTTTGACTAGCTCATTCAACTGGGTGCCTAGGAGTTCTGATTGTCTAGCTAGGGCTGTCAATGGGTTGGGTCTGGTTTGGAACATGGTAGAACTGGTCCCGGACCAACAAGAAATATCATGGACCCAGTACCAAACCAGACCCTATAGGGTCTGTAATCTTGGAACCAGAACCAAACCAATCGGTTCTCGGGACAATCAGGTCCAACCTGATGCACCCGACTATAATAAACCTGTGAGAAGAAGGCAACAGCTGAGTTACGTTCAACAATGGAGATGATTTCAAACTCCCAAAAGCCGAGTACAAAAATGGAGATCGATTTAAAATGAAAACTCTTGATGGCTTAATCCCAACAACCAAGTTCAACAATGGAGATTGATTTCAAATAAAACCTTTAATAGCTTAATACCAATAGCCGAGTTCAACAGTGGAGATTGATTTCAAACAAAACCCTTAATGGCTTAACCCCAACAGCCGAGTTCAATAGTAAACAACTAAAGATCAATATTAAAAAAAAGAAGAAATCAACTAGTAAAATCTAAAACATGAGAGAAAAAGTAATGGCGGAGAAAGAAGAGACTGTAGAGAAAGAAGAGATCGGCAGAAAGGAGACTGATGACGGCAGAGAAGAGACTGACAAGAGAGAGTATACCGATGGTGAGAGAGATGAGACTGATGAGAGAGTAGAGACGGATGGACGGCGAGACAGAAGATTAGGTTGTCTCAACTACAGTACAGCCCCTTCTCTTGTTTTCTATACTTGCAGAGTTCCAGCTTCGTTTTTGTCTTTCAAATGGAGAAGAAAACAAAAAAAGGCTCATTTCGGTAGGGTTTTAAATGAAATCCTACCGAAATGACCATTTTGGACATATGTTGTTTAAATTATTAAATATTACATAGTATATAATCTATTAACTATTATATATATTATACATTTAATATTATATTATGTATAATATTATATAAGGCTTGGGCCGGGTCCAAGTCGGTTCAGGACATGGTGGATCTGGTTCTGAACCGATAATAATCGGGACAATTTGTTAGGAACCGGAACTGACCCATCAGGACGAATTCTAGAACCATAACCGGTCCAATCGGTCCGGGTCCATTGGGTCGGACCCAACCCATTGACAGCCCTAAGTCTAGCAGATTTGTTAGCAAGGGCAGGGTGGTGGTAAGAGATCAGTTAGATGGGGTTTTCCAGGGCTGGGGTTTAATTTGTAACAGTTGTTGACTAGTCTGTTTTCTTTATCTGTTCTACTTTGTAATGTGCTCTCCCAGTTCTGGAGTTAGCATTCTACTTTCCAGTTTGTTTTTCTTAATGAAAACTTCCTGTTGATTGTCCAAAAAAATAAAATTTGATTTGAATCTAAATATTAATGAATCAAATTTTGATCTAGGTATCTGATTTTATCTCATCTGCTTGCAGCTTACTGAAAAACAATGTATATGTTTATGCCTATTCAAAAGTTTGATGCATTTCTTTGGTTTTCTTATTTTTTCAGTTCATATGGGCAGAATTTGCAAACAAGCACATTTATTGGGGAGACTTCATTTGCCATACTCATTGCCATTATGGGTCTGGTCTTATTTGCCCATCTGATTGGCAACATGCAGGTAATTGTGAGGCTTTTCCCTTTTTTTGTTGCCCTTCAAATTTTAAATGAGCGTTTAATTAATCAGTAGTTGAAGTAAAATTAATGCTGTTCTCCTTTACATGATTGATTTTTTTTTTGACAATTAACATGAATTTCATTAAGAGGAGAAAATACATACAAATTTACAATCTGTTTTACAGAGGCAGCACCCTCTGCCCACTAGAAGATATTACATCATATTACATGACCCAAAGCAATTGATCCTTCACCATCCCATACTTCGCTAAGGAATCACCAATGCTTTGCTGAGGATTCGGCTATATATTTAGTTGATCTTTGAACTCGTTGTACTTTCACCGTCATACCCCTTGTCAGCCACCTAATCCTTTTAACCTTTTTATGTCATTTCTTTATCTCCCATACTTGTCAAGGTGACGCCTAGGTGATAAGGCGTTCTTGGAGGGTTGCCGTGCCCAAACGTCTACATATTTATATGTAAGACACCACACAATATTTATATTTATATTTTGTGTTATTAATAGTAGTGTAATAGATATTATATTATTATTAGATTAAATTATTCATATTGCAGGTTTATAGTATTAATATTGTTATTCCTCTACTAGTTTCCTTTTGTTATTTTCTTATTTGTTTTGGTTCAATCGAAACACAAGTCAGTGACATAGTCTTAAACCCTTTAGGACTTAACCTGAATTGATAAGTAAAAAATAACTTGTAGATTTTATCCAATTGACACACAAGAACAATCAATAGGATTTCTTCTTCTTCTTCTTCTTCATAAATATGTTCAGTTTCTATCTATTGATATGGGGTTTATACTTATTTCATGAGAATTATGGTGATTATTAGTTAAAGATCACTACTTATTACTATGAAACCTAAGGATCTAGCCTAGGATATATATATTAAAAAACTCATTGCCTAGGTGACTAGGTGACAAGGTGCTCCCCTATTGCCCAACTTCGCCTTGGCACCTTGAAAACTATGATATCTCCATAGTGCTTCCTCACAATTCATCGCCATCCTACCACCACCTTAGAATCCCCTTCTATGATCAGCCTTTGTATGTTCATTTCTTTTGCTATTCTTACTCCAACCACGGCCAATACTTCTGCCCTCAGTGAATCACCTATACCAATTGGCCCTGAAAACATTGCAACAATGGAAATTTAAGTATGTTAATTTGAAGGGACTGTTGTGGATGTGTTGGAAAATTAACGTTTGCAGGGGAACTCTTAATGGCTTGGCTAGGCATGTTATATTCAGGGCTGGTGAGGGGTCCAGAGTGCTCTATTTTGGAAGGATTTATGGTGCTCAGATCAGCCACTAGCTGAAGCTTTCCCATACTCTTTTCTATTGCCTCGAATAAGGAAGGGTCTATTAGAGAGTTCTTGGAAGTTTTTAATGGCCAACTAATCTGGGGCTCCAAGATTTTGAAGAAATTTGAATGACTGGGAGGTGGATATGCTTCAAACTTTGTTGGGCATACTGCAGGAAGCTCAAATTGACCCCAATTCCAGAGACACCAGGTTATGGGACTGTGGAAAGAATAGCCATTTCTCAACAACGTTTTATTACTTGGCTTTGACGGATCTGAGTGCTAAAGTCGATTGGGCCTAGATTTAGAAGGCTCCGGTTCCATCTAAGATCATTTTCTTTGTTTGGCTGGCTGCTCAAAAGAGGGTTGATATTGAATGATCTGTGCATCTTGTGTGGTGTTGCACCTCTCCCTCCCCTCTATCATTTAAATTTTAATACATCACACTTACTAATTTTCAGAATAAAAGAAAAAAAATACAAAACTCTTAAGAGAAGCATGTAAATCATATACAGATAGTGCAATCATGGCTCCTTCAGCTATCTAGAGTCAAAATGTGCCTGGACATAGATATTTATGAACACATTATAAATAATGTAAGCCTGTAGGGTTTTCTCATTTTATGCTTGCAGGATTGGTATGTCTTGTTTTTGGTATGCCTTATTCTTGTGTCTTGTGAGTGGACCTGTTGATTGTACTCCTGCCTTTTTTATATTTCTTTTCAGTGAATTTATCCATTACCAATAAAAAAAGAAATAAGGTTGTGTTTTCTTATCAGAACCTGAGATGTATAAAAAGTTCATTAACAAATGTTCCAGATGGTAGAGAAGTGAGAAGGATGGTGGAAGTGATAGTGATGATGTGTAATTGGATGCAAAGACCAACAAACTGTCTAGTTGGTTCTTTGGTTAGACAAGGAGTGCATAGAGAAATTGTATTGGGAAACCAGTCCCCTTAGATGTATACTGTTCTAAGTTTTTTGGGCCAGGTGACAGTTGCCAGCCTAGGATTAAAAAGGATACTAGGAACATTCCTTGCATTCACAAACCCTTTTATACAGTTCTTTTTCATAATTTTTTTGATCAGTAGTTCTTTCTTCATTATTAATAAATCATGATTTTTTTCTGATAAAAAAATCAAGACAGTAGTGCCTCTTACAGTCTTGAACAGACATAGACATGAGATCAGAATCTGTCATGTGTCCAGGACTCTGACACAGTAAGATGAAAAAAAAAACAAACTTGCAGACACATCTACAGAAAAGTATTTACTGTTAAAATAGTTATTTTTTGAACTCTAAGATTGTATACCCATAGAATAAAGGTCTAAGATTGTTACTTGGCAACATCCTGTAGGAAAAATGGCATTAACATGTACATCGGATGTTAATTTATGTCAATTAAGCAAGGGTAAAAAGGAAAGTTTTACATAGAAGTGTCCCTCAAGAAACCATGAAATGTTGGAATTTGAAGCTATCCAATACTGTACTCTATCCTTTAGGGGAAGTCCATACAACACTGCTCTCATAATGGCAAGAACCTTGGGCCAAGTGGTGCATCGGTGCATTTTCATGGTGAGTGAGATTGAGTTTGTTGGGAAATCAAACATCAGTAACCAGTAGCCAGTAACCAGTAAGGCAGTAACCCGCTTGGTTACTCCAAGTTTCCAACACAGTACTCCATCCATATGAAGGTTGATTGGGACTTGGGAGCATCTCATGCATAGTTTATTGGGAAATCATACATCAGTACCCAGCCTCTGCCATTGTGGAATAGGAGTGTGATAGATTTTTAGTGCTGGTGGAGCACAGCTCCAAATATAAGAAGCTCCAAAATCTTGCAGTATTTATTGTAATTTAATCAAGGGCTTGCTTGTAATTAATTTAAATAGTTTGCTTATTTCAAGGCATTTGCCTTTTATTTAAAGTATTTGATTTTGTAGGATTGATAACAATGAATTTATTAGAGAATAAAAGTGAAAAATAAAAATTACAGATACCGCTTTTCTTGAGTTTACATTAGTTCTTTTGTAAGGTCATCTCAGGTTCTTGGTAGATGTTCCACATCTTTGAAATTCTTTCTTGTTTGGTGTTTTTCTTGAGTCGAAAATGTCTACAGTTCTATTGGTTATAATGAAAAATGAGTTAATTTACAAAATTACCAGGCACCCCTGTTTGATAGGCTAGCATTTGCTTTCTATCCCTTGGACTTTATTTATTTTTTCATTTTAAATCAATTTCCCTGGGATCCAGATACCATCCTCCAATACAGCTGTCTTCTATTAACTCCTTGATAAGCAAATACATCAGTTAACAAATTGGCTGATCTCTGGACCCAGTTGAAGGTTTCTCCTACTTCCCTAGCAGACCCTGTACTCCTCTCATGATATGTCTACATTTCCAAGATCCTTCCCTATTGTTCTTCAACCATCCCACTACTATTTTATGGTCAGCTTCTACCATTAGATCTTTTTAGTTGTGGGAATTTCCCACTTTCAATCCATGTAGAACTGCTAGCATGGCCCTTAAAGAATAACCATGTCATATGGGTCCAGAATAAACATTGAGAACGGTACCGTGATACTTGCTCACATTACATCATTATAGATGTTATATCAATAACTTTGTAAAAAGATTAGTGTTGTAGGGGTCATATGTGTGTCACATGTTGTTTTATATTAAGTAGGGTCACATGATTGTCACATGTTATTTTATGTTAAGTAGGGTCACATGACTATCATATGCTGTTTTTAAGTTAAGTGGTCACATGGACATCACATGCTCCTTAAAGAAGGGCGGTCTTGTATTTTGTTACAGTTTAATATATATGGGAGCCAACAGTCCCATGTTCTGAGACTCCCAGATCGCTGGTTTCTCTTCTCCACTCTTCTCTCTTCTCTTTTTTGATTTTCTACCAGAATTATAATTAGCAAAGTGTTATGTATATTGTGAGAAGTGAACTCTCTAGAGCCCTTTATATTGGCTACTTGTATTGCTTTATGCTATGTATCCCGTGATCTGTTTTATGGTTGTCAAGGTAAAAGTGATGCCTAGGTGCTAAGGCATTAGTTTTGTGTGGTGGAGCTAAATCATATTATATTGTGTAAATAAGGTAAAAGCATGTAAAAAAGAATCATAAAAGACCAATTTTTAACTTACAGAACCATAAATTGGACTTTGCCTCTCTTGTTCTTTCTTTAAATTACTTACTATCAGTTCCCTCTTTCCAACTTTTGAGCAGAATAAGGGTCTGCCTCTTCATATTTTCCCTTCCTTTACAATTAATACACTTTCATGTTCTCTTCTCTATATCTCTGTCATGTTCAAAATAACAAGGCTTCCAAGCTTGTACATTCTCTTCTTTTTATGTCTGTCATGTTTCTCCCATTCTTTAACGCACACATGCACAATTTCTCTATATTCTCCTAGTTTTTCATAAGCTATGAAATGTTTTTTAGTTTTACTTTTAATCTTTGTTTCTTTCATGTTAGTTCACTTCTGATGTTTTCTAGTTAAACCAACTAGAGAAATAAAATAATTGATAAAAGAATAGTGAAAAATGCTAAAAACAACCAGTTTTTTCTTATAATAAATTATTGCCTAGGCAACCCTGGTCACCTAGGTGATTACTGATTAGGTGTTTCACTGTTGCCCAGCCTCTACTTACTGCCTTAACAACTATGAGTTTTGTATCTTGCGTAACAATGTTCAGGAAAAAAAGGAAATCATTATTCGGAAATTTTAAATCCTGATTCCCATTGCAATTCCATACTAGGGGCAATGAGTACTTAAGGCAAATGTCTTGGTTGCTGGCCTACAGTAATGCCCTTAGGATATGGTTCCACTTCATAATTAAACGAAAGTCTTTGATTCACTTATGATGTTGGCCTATGGTCTGATGGGTGAACTAACAACTGGGAGCTCCACACTTAAGATTTTATGTAAATTGCAATGAAACTTCTAGTAAAACAACTGTACCAGTGGTGTTAAAAACTGACCTTTTTCTATATTGGCAAGTATTGCATTGATTGCTAAATCCTTTCCAAATTACAGTTGATTTTTCACATTTTACACTAGTGTTGGCAGCACATGATATTGAGTTTGGTGAGGCTTGTCATTTTCTAAAAGCTCTGACTTTTTTTTTTTTTTTTTTTTTAATTTTAATGTAGACCTACTTGCAATCTCTCACTGTGAGGCTTGAGGAGTGGAGGCTTAAACGGAGGGACACTGAGGAATGGATGAGACATCGCCAACTCCCTCAAGATTTGCGAGAACGTGTTCGGCGATTTGTTCAATATAAGTGGCTTGCAACACGAGGAGTAGATGAAGAAGCCATTTTGCATGCCTTGCCTACTGATCTTCGCCGAGATATCAAACGCCACTTATGCTTGGACCTTGTTCGACGTGTATGGTCTTTCCCCAGTCTCTTATCTACTATAATTCTGAAGTATAGCGGTATTCAGTTTTGGGAAAAGTACTAATTAGCACTTTTTATAAATTGAAAACCCATATCAGATCAGGCAGAATTCAAAAGTCCACTGAACTCTGGGGATTTATGGTTTAATCCGAAATTCATCTCAGGCACTCTTTGATCTTCCTCTCAAAAAAATGACATGTTAGTCCATTTTTTTGTATGATCTCTGCCCCTCTTTTTTATTCTGTCAAAGCAAAAAAATAAAAAAATAAAAAAATGGAACCTGGCCATCTTCATCTTTTCTCTTGTTCACTCAGAGCCAAGAAAACCAAACCCATGGGAGAACTGACAACAGAAGCGGGAGCAGGTCATTTGGTTAAGATAGTTTTCTGAAAGAGAAGGGTTTATCTTTGCTAGGAGCAAGCAGTCTTTTCTTCCTCTGAAATCCGTCATACTTGAACAGCTCCAAGAGCAGAGGCTCAGGGAACTGCAGGAGGAAGAAGAGGACACTATGAGAAGGTTTCTGGAGCAGAATAAGGCTCGATGAGGAAAAGGAGATGATGCTGAAACAAAAGGAAAAATAAAAGATGATGATGCAAGGACAACAGGAGAAAAGAAGATTTGGACAGAAGGGGGAAGAGGAGAGGAGGTCAAAAGCATCATATTGCCTGGAGAGGCCAAATGGATGGGGAGTTCACAAATGAGGAGGGAACATGTTGAATCATGAAAGAGGTGTTTTTTGATCATAAACAAAGGCTGAAGCTTAAAGAACTAGGGGATGAATGGTGGTCACAGTTCGACGTTCAAGAGATGGAAAAAGGTTTGGTGGCAAAAGAAAGGTGAAAATGGTGTTCTGCTATGGATCAATATATTAGAGGTTTTCGATGAGATTTTGGCCAGGTATGGAAGGAGCTCTAGTGGTTGTGCTAGGCTCAAGCTTTGGTCATTTATAATTTTCATATTCCCAGCAAAGTTAGTGCCATATCATCATTTTTAAGGAGTAAGATAATGTGGCGTGAGATTCTGGAATAAAATCTTGAAGACACGAACTTTAGCAGGATTTCAAAATTTGCCTTGTCTAATCTGGGTTTTTAATTCAGCAAAAGTGTGTATCGGTGCTTTTCCCTACATATTTTGGTCTTCTTTATTAAGATATAGCTAATATGCCTAAAAGGGACCTGGAAGCAGGATGAGCAGCCTACAAAATCCTTGTCCTAGACTTGCATACATGCTGCATGCCTGGCATGCATTGCATAAGTTTTAGCCCAACTATTCCTAGTTCGATGAATATGATACCAGGGCTGTATTCTTTTCTCTGACTGTTTTCTTTCTTTAAACATGGAGAATCAAACTGCTGCTTTTGTTAGGATTCTTCAGATTGGGATTCTTGACTTGGTAAAACTTCTTGGTTTCCTTTTGAATCCCGTATACCACAAAAGATCCTTAACATGGTAATGCTCCATTTTCCCATATTTTATCCTTTCTATTTATAATATTGGTTATATTGGTGAATGCCTTGTGGACACTGGACACTGGTTAAACTGCTTTCAATGCATCCTAAATTATTTACTTTTCTCTACTTCCCTTAGAAACAAACTTAGCCAGTTTAAAATTCTTGAAGTGCCCCATCTTTTCTTTTGGAGACCTTGCAAGGCAAGCAAGTCCCTCTAGCTAAATGGTCCAGATGAACCGGAAACTTTTGTAGCGGCTTATTTATCCAAAAGAACTAGGTCCACTTAGTTCTTCACTAGATTGCTTCTCTATTTCATCCTCTATCTCGACCATGTGAAATGATGATAAGGTCAATGGAAGTCATGGATGACATAAAGGACTCATGTCTTAAGTTTTTTTAAATCCATTTTATATACAACCTTATAACCTATGTTACCAGACATGGCAAGGACAAGGTGGCAGATGCATAATTTACAATAAAAATTGAAGCATCTAATATGATATGGCACCCTTATTTGGGTATCCAGGTATCGTAGCATTAACATATAGTCTACCTTCTCTAAAGTGATCCCGTTTGAATGTTGTAAAACTTTAATTTGAAAAATAGAAGAAAAGAGAGCTTTATTTTGCAAGGCTGTTGGTTTGAAACCTGTGTAAATAAACAAGGATGGTGCAGCTAATGTGTAGGACCTTTTTATGGTGTCATTAAGTGGCTGTAATGTTTTAGATTTCTTTGCTAAAGATGCATCTTGCTGAACAGGGTGTAGGAAGTGCTTTTATTCCTATGTCTTCCTAGACTTTTTGAGGGATGGAGCTGTAATGTAAACTTTGTATACTATTTTACATTTTCTTATGTATAATTTTGGAATATCATCACTTCAAAAGGGTTGAAAAAAAATTAAAAAGATTGAAATGACATTTTAGAAATTTCTTATTATCTGATAGGAAGTGGATCAATTAAAATAATTAAGGTTTATTTTGCAACTTAACCTGTTTTACTGGGGTCTTTACGTTACCATTATAATAATTTGTTTTTGTTAAGCAACCATTATAATGTTATTAACTTAAAACACATATTTCACAATTTATAGTGTGACCATAGTAGTCAAGTTGGTAATATCTACTTATCTAGATTTCATCACTCTACCTGTTGAATTGAAGGGGCATTGTACTCTTATTTGATGGTATTCAAACATTATCTACGTTAGATTTGCCCATGTTTAAACAAAGGAAATTTGCTTCAGGATGGGAATTTAGGAACGTGAATATGTACAGCAGGTTGAGACCTATCTAATTTCCCCAGGAGTCAAATATTGGATGGTCTGACCATCTAATTATGGAAATATTTGGGCTGATTGAGATACCATCTGTGGTTTAACCAAGGAATGACATAAATCAGGGTGCAAAACACCCTACATGGTGGAAATCAGTTAATGGTTGATCCAACTGCTCCCCCTCTCCCAGCATCTAGTCCAATTTATATAGACCAAACAGTTGGCAGATTTTCATACTAGCTGGCTTGTTTTTTCATATGCAGGTCCCATTTTTTTCACAGATGGATGACCAGTTACTTGATGCTATATGTGAGCGCCTGGTGTCCTCTTTGAGCACTGAAGGCACCTACATTGTTCGTGAGGGTGACCCTGTAACAGAGATGCTTTTTATCATCAGGGGGAGGCTAGAGAGCTCTACTACCAATGGGGGCAGAACTGGTTTCTTCAATTCAATTACTTTGAGACCAGGTGATTTTTGTGGGGAGGAGCTGCTTGCATGGGCATTGCTTCCAAAATCTAGTGTCAACTTGCCTTCTTCCACAAGGACAGTAAGAGTCCTTTTTGAAGTGGAAGCATTTGCTTTGCGAGCAGAAGATCTGAAGTTTGTAGCCAACCAGTTCAGGCGCCTTCACAGTAAGAAGCTGCAGCACACTTTCCGGTTCTACTCTCATCATTGGAGGACTTGGGCAGCTTGCTTCATACAAGCTGCTTGGCGTCGATACAAGAAGAGGATGATGGCAAAGGACCTTACCATGCAGGAATCATTCTCTTATCCTTTGGATGAGCATGCACCTGATGAGGCAGCTGGGCAAAAGGGAGAGGACCATGCAGCTGGCTCAGGAAACCTTTCTCAAGTTAAACAAAACCTAGGAGTCACAATATTAGCATCACGGTTTGCTGCAAACACAAAGAGGGGAGCTCAAAAGATCAAGGCAGTTGAGATGCCCAAGTTACAGAAGCCAGAAGAACCTGATTTCTCTACTGAGGCTGATGATGATTAATTACCTTAAAGAGCTACGTACAGTCATGGTCGTAGTTGCGTAGGGTAACTTGCGTTAGTCTATGAGGCAGGATCCAACTTCCCAAAAGGTTTTGATTGGGTAAAGTGGGCACAAGTTTCAGTCATCAAAGGCATGCCGAAGTTCTTTGGTGCCAAAGGGGAAGCAGTTTTTTAATATCCACTGTCTGATACACTTGTTGTGCCTATTTGTAGTTATTGTCAGGCATCATCTGTCCTGGGTTTTACAATTTACAAGAAAGGTTTCATTCAAAACCCTAATCCTAAGTTCCTAACCCTCCTTGATATTATCGGTTTTACAGGCAGTACAATCTTTTTAGTGGCTTAGTCTTTGATCAGCTGTCTATACTAATTTTGGTTTCTTTGCTTACGTGTCCTCACATCAGTTTCTATTCTTGGTTAGGTTTACATTGCTCTCATCCCTAGGTCAAAAAAGAGAGAAAAAGGATAGGGAGAGAAGAAGAAAATAGAAGGGAGAACGATGGTCTCAACTAGAAAACTAAATTATTTCAGTTGCCCAGATCTTTGTTTATATGTTTGTAAAGAATACACAAAGGCATGTGCCCCTGATCAAGTATGGGACATATTACTTAAACTGCAACAAAAAAGGCAAAACACTTTTTAATAAAATAAGGTATGAAGACTAAATTACTCTTGAGTGCTGACTAACACTTTTTTTTTTTAACCCCAAACTTTACTTGTGGAGGGGTGGCTACCTTAGAATTTTATTAATAAAACAATTAATTAAAAGCAAATACAGGGAAGGATATTGCCCGCCTTGCCACGAACCCGAGGTATAAGTCGCACTTTTAACTTGAAGCCCATAAACTCTAATCTTAATCTTGGAATATACAAGTAAAAGAAAAAAAAGAACTAAGAGGAAGCATGATCAAATGTGTGATAAACTTCATTATGAAAACAGGTTAACCAAATGCATCATGAAGTGTCACCCTCAAAACATGATTAACCTATACCTCCAAGTCATTAGCTTAGAGATCACAAATATCATCCACCCATCACAAGATGTGCCATGGAGCATCTAATTATCTCCCTCAAACTAATGTGTGTATGTCATATAGTTCTAGCTTGTGGCATGTAATACATGCTTCTACTCAACCCTTTGGAAGTATATTTGCCCCATTAATAGGGGATAGCAAGAGAAATTTGTCGGTCCATTTTCAGTCCCAGATCAACTTGCCATGTCGAAGATTCTTTCATCATTCAGCTTTCTTCCTTAAACTAAGACCAATTTACAATACCTGCTCTGAGCAAAAAGAAGGCTGAGTGATGAACAAGGTAGAAACCCAAAAATGAGAAAAGAAGGAAAAGTTACCTTTTACAAATTTGTCTTGTATGCACAAAAACCAGATGATTTGCCAAAGTTGAAGACTGTTCATTTAATTTGTTAAAAAACATATAGCTTGAACCACCCATTTTTTGTTTTCAGTTATTAATTCAAACAAGCCAACTAAACTGCTGAAGGGACAAATGGTCTTATGATGATTTTTCTTCTGCCTCTTAAACAACTAACATAACCTATAAAAAATAGTTATATTTAATCCAGATCAAATGCACTTTGTAAACAGTTCTTTCTTAAGAGGATTGCTCTAATTTTTAAATTAATGTCAAACTGATCACCTCAAGAAATGGATGTTATATTTTTTAGTAATAATGCTTTTCTTTTTCTGAATTTTAAATATTAAAAAAATTTTAATCTAGCAATTTTTTCTATCTAATTCTATTTACAAAGTTTCTATATTGAAAATTTATTTTTTGAAGACAATTATAGGTTAGGCTTGAAAAAACTGTTTCGTCATTCAAAATGTACAGATAACCAAACTTATAAGAAACGACTTGAGCAGGCTGGACCAGGTTTAAGGTCAACGCAGGCCCAACCCTAATGTTTGAGCTTAAGGCCTCAACCTGTTCATCCCAGGCCCAGCCCAAACTAAAATTTTGCACACACAGGTTTATGCTTGCCTACTTGGGTCTGGGTTAGGCTTGGCTTGATCACTAGGGCTCAAGCAGGCCTTTAGGGCCTAACATTAGATAGGAATACTTTATTATGTATGTACATATGTATACCACTAGGCTGAGTTCAAGCTGTGATAGGATCGGAACAGGCTGAAATTGCCCAAGAACTTAAGCCCATGCCCAACCCAAACAAAAATGAAAAAACTCGAGGTATTGGGCCTGGACCCATCTCAGGACCGAAAATCTAAGTGCAGCAGGTATAAAATTTTGGGTTGGGCCCATTCAAACTGCATTCCCATGTGGAGTCTTTCAATCAAAATTGACCTCAAGTTCCCATTAATCGAGTGTTTGACTATGATTTAACCGACCGGCATCACAAAAGTGGTGATGAATGAGATGGTTTTCATCAAAATTCATGGGGTTTTGATTGGTCAATGCTCTTCGAGTGTCATGCCTTTTCTTGCATCATAAAATTCCCTTTCAACTAACATCTGCCATTTAGGGGTGTCAATTGGACTGAATTTGGTCCAATCCAATCCAATCCAGTCCAATGTGAACCCATCACAAATGGATTAGGTACAATCCAATTCAATGAATATTTTGGACCGATCCGATTTAATGGCTGGATCATCTAATTTGTTCAAATTTAGATTAATTCTAACCCAAACATGGTCCATTGACACTTGTATTCTTATCTTCTTTCAATGGATCAGATATTGGCTCAATCCAAACCAATCCAATATAAATAAATCTATTACGAATGGACCAGGTCCAGTCCAATTCAGTATATTTTGTTGGTCTGTCCAAATTAATTTTGGTTTGGATGGGGTCTAACCCAAAACCGGTCCATTGACACCCCTACTGCCATTTGACAATTTCTTAAATGGGTTATGTAATGGATACATTGAGGATTAGTAAAAAACAGCAGTCCACCTTCATTATCATGACTTGTGATGAGACCTACCACTAAACTGGTTATAAGATACCACTGGACTGCAAACTTGTAAAATCTTTGAGGAAAACAGAATTCCCACTGGACTTTATGGAAATGGCATTATTCTATACATACCATCATGGAGGTTTCCTGTGAATTAATCATACATCAAATGGAATTACCGTTGCATTTGACAGTAAGTGTTAAAGAGTAGACTTATTTGCATCCTAAAAAGTAAAACTGCTTGAATGCCATTTTGATTCCAAAAATTATTCTGAGTTGCATTTCTTGTTGTCTTGGGGAAAACATAAATGCAACTCCTCTTTTAATTTGGATGGTGTAATAGTAGTATTTAGTATTTACAGCGTAGTGATAAGATTTAAAAGGAATGTTTTTTCAATGAATCCGTTAATCATATTATTAATATATAGGGTAAATTATATATAGGTACCCTGTACTTTGGGGGTAGTAACAGATAGGTATCCTGAACTTTCAATTGCAATATTCGAGTACCTTGAACTCTCAAAAATAGACACTTGGGTCCATCTGTTAGTATTCCATCAGTTAAACATTGCATAATGTCAAAAATATCCTTCTTGTGTATTTTTGAAATCATTCTATGGAATAAAATCATCACTAAAGAATGCCGTCATCAGAAAATTTGAATATGTTATTTGCTGTCCACATGAGGACGTCATTGGGGAGACATTCAGTTATCTGAGAAAGATCTCAGAAATACACAATAAGGGTATTTTTGGCATTATGTAATGTAACTGATGGAATACTAACGTATGGACCTATGTGTATTTTTGAATGTTTAGGGCACTCAAGTGTTGCAATTGAAAGTTCAGAGTACCTATCTATATATATATATATATATATATATATATATATATATATATATACACATTTATTCACTATTTATTTATTGTAACATCTATGTTACCCATGAAGTAAATCCAAAGTCCTAGTTGCTTGAATCTTGATCTTGAAATATCAAACTTAAGTGTGAAACACAAAATTGAACTTGAGTTTTTTTAAATATAATCCATGCTAAAAATCAATGAAATTGTAACTTAGGATCAGTTTGGAAGGAGTACAAATACAAATATGTAGAGCGCAAAACCTTGTACTTTGTATTGTTTTGTATATATTTACACCGTACAATATATACCTTTTTCAAACTGAGCCTCAAGAACATGCACAGAGGATGCTCAAATAAAGAAATTGCTTGTTCTCTCTCTCTATATATATCCAAGGCCCCATAAATTTTAGTCAATTCTTTGTTCAAGAGTCAAGATGAAGATCATTCCTCAGTGCCCCTATAAATCCAAGGCCCCATGCAGAGGATCGCCTACTTCAGAAATACTGGAGAACCAAAGAGGCCCACTAACTCACAATAATCTTTGCCAGCTACCCTGTCTCTGGATCACCATGAATTGGGGAATTGAGTACAAGCTTCATTGACAACACCAGAACAGAACCTCAGCCACCATCTCCAAAAGGGAAAGAAGAATTCAGATACATGCCTTTCTTCTTAAGTGCTCCCATCTAAACTCTATTACCCTGAGATATCTGACCTCAGAATCTACATGGTCATGGGGTATGGGATATGGCAGAACTATGGTTATAATTCTTTCTTTACATGCAAATAAAGTCCGGAAAAGCTATTATTGAATGTTGGTTCCAACTATTTGGGGTCTTGGGAGGGGTGGACTGGATATGGTATTAACTTTTGGCATGTTTTTTGAACAAAGTGACTGCTCTCAGAATCGAACCAGCACCTGAATGGCCTAAATGATGGATAGAAGTAGAACCGAAATGACAAAGTCCTAGACCTCTGAATGGCCTAAATCTTCAAAGTGAGAGGAAGAAATATCAATGGCGGTTCACGGATCAAGGAAAAAAAATAGAAAGAGAGAAAAAGAAGGGCAATTGTTAATTGTTTGAAGAAACACAGACAACATGGAAGCAAATAATTGGATGGATGATGGCCACCACAAATATGCCACATGGGATTTGAGGTAACCAGCTTCTAGTGATTTAAGCCCTGGTGATTGGTGAAACAACTGCAATTAGGCATACTTGTCACCAGATTTCCCTAATTCATTAGCTATCTGTTAAAGTAGAATTTTCAGCAAATAATTGTAGCCAGTGTCTAATGACAATAATGCATTTTTCTATAAACCAGTGATAGTATTCGTTTATCTAGACTGCCACTGCCTAGCATGCCAAAGCTTTTGTTCAAACAGGATACATGCATTTAGTAGAATTTCAAGTGGTTGCAATAGATCTGATGGTAGTATCAACTCTCAATAAAAGATGGGCTTTAAGATAAATTAATGGGAGCTTTGGCAAACAAGTTGTTTGTCTGTGATTATAAGTTTTACAAAGAGAAAACTAAGAAAGGGACTGTGATGCATGTACTTTACTAATTCGGCAATTCCAAGTCTCAAATGA